TCCACGTGGTTCTTTCCCGGCCTTCTTCACCTCTTCCCAGTAAATACGTGGCCCCTCCAGCCTGGTTGATGCACCGTGGCCTCTGTCCCCCTCCGTCCCTCTCCGTCCCCCTCTGTCCCCCTCTCTGCCCTCTCATATTCTTTATGTGTCACTGCGTTTGTTTGCATTCCCGTCTTATTGTTTTCAGTGTGCAGACTTGTGTCGTGAGAAACCCTCCGTTTCCTGATAAGACTGATTGGCTGCAGATAAACGCCACTAAATAGTTCTCAAGTTTCTCGGTTGACTACTCCAACTTTCATCATGTAGCCCCGTCTCACCCCTTTGGCTCTCTAAGCGCAGCTAAACGATAAACGATGGCTGACTACAGCATGACTTCTACTTAAACACTGGATCGTGAAAAGGGAACGATGAAGTGACGCGATACAAATAAAAAGTGAAATCAGACTAAAGAACCGTTTTGGCTGCTCAGCTTAGATGTTTTTTCATACTTTCAAACAGATTTGGTTTATGCAGACATGGAATTTGACTCCAGTTTAACCTTCACTCTCCAAACACTATACAAACATTTTCTTTATACAAATGGACGAGAAAAATATAAACGGACGACACAAAAAGCAAAAACAGGTGAGGGTAAGAAACATGTAACAACTATACAATGTAGATATAAATATGTATATATGTATGTATGTATATAATATATATATATATATATATATATATATATATATTATATACAAGCAATACAAAAATATTCTGCTACCGTCTCATCAGATGAAACCATGTGACGCACAATAAATAACGCTAACCTTTACTCTGACACAGCAGCTTGTAAAACACTTCCTGTCTGGTTGTATGAAGTCTAAGAGAAAATATTTATCTCCTGATTTAATTCCTCAGTCTACATTGTAAACATGAGCTCATGGTCTCTGGTTTCAAGTCTTCTTCATGCAGCATGATGAGTCAAAGCGAATATAAAGCCCAGCGTAGCGTGACTGACAGGTCAGCGGAGTCATACATGACATCTCTACGTCACATTCCAAACACGCTAACCTGCATCATCGGAACGAAACACAACGAGGAAGCCGTGGCGTCCCCTCCTCCCCCCGGCCTGCTGAGCACCTCTGGTCTCCATCTCCCACCCCATCACACACACACACTCCACACATTCTTCTTCTCCTTGATGGTTTAATGTACAACAAAAACTCTTCACTCTAAAACCACTTGATAAGCAGTTGACCCGCTGTCCTGGTGTCCAGCACATGGTCCATCACTACATGGCTGAGGGACAGATGTCCTGGTGTCCAGCACATGGTCCATCACTACATGGCTGAGGGACGGATGTCCTGGTGTCCAGCACATGGTCCATCACTACATGGCTGAGGGACGGATGTCCTGGTGTCCAGCACATGTTCCATCACTACATGGCTGAGGGACGGATGTCCTGGTGTCCAGCACATGGTCCATCACTACATGGCTGAGGGACGGATGTCCTGGTGTCCAGCACATGGTCCATCACTACATGGCTGAGGGACGGATGTCCTGGTGTCCAGCACATGGTCCATCACTACATGGCTGAGGGACGGATGTCCTGGTGTCCAGCACATGGTCCATCACTACATGGCTGAGGGACGGATGTCCTGGTGTCCAGCACATGGTCCATCACTACATGGCTGAGGGACGGATGTCCTGGTGTCCAGCACATGGTCCATCACTACATGGCTGAGGGACGGATGTCCTGGTGTCCAGCACATGGTCCATCACTACATGGCTGAGGGACGGATGTCCTGGTGTCCAGCACATGGTCCATCACCAGATGGCTGAGGGACAGCTGGACGCTCAGAGCACGTGAGTATCGACGAATCAGCTTCCATTGTAACTGACGGCCACAATGTGACCAGCGTCACATCTTACGTAAAGGTGTAATTCCCTCGCTGAATGTGACCTTCGTTTTTATCACTAACACAAGAAATCCCGTCATTGTTTTGGGCCGATGAACCGTGAAAGGATTTTTTGCGAAGCCGTATGACTTATTGCATTTTCAGTGTGGCTTCTAAAGCAGAGCTGGACTGTGACACACTGCTATGTTACGTGCACTTGATCTGTCTAATTGGTATATGAGCAGGATCTCAATCCAACACACACTCTCACACACACATCACACACACACACACACACACACACCCAGACAGTTCAGATGAGACTTGTCACATCCGTTGACATAGGGCCCAATTAAAGGGGAGGATTAAGCCGGGGCTGTGTGACCTCTTCAGGAATCTCTCTGAGACGCTGTGTGTACACTGTCAAACCCTCTGACAGAGCTGCACTTTAAGCACTTTCACCTGCTAATTAAGACACAGAACGTGTGTGTGTGTGTGTGTGTGTGTGTGTGTGTGTGTGTGTGTGTGTGTGTGTGTGTATGTGTGTGTGTGCTCATACAAGATAAACCCGCAAATGTCTGCGATGGATTTGCAGCCCCAGAAGCCTCTCTGTAAATATTTGACTGAGCATTGTGTCTGTTTTCAGAAAGGCCAGCGGTGCTAGCTAGCAGCGAATAGCATGGTGTGTGTGTGTAGTGTGTGTAGTGGTGCTAGCAGCAGCGAATAGATGGTGTGTGTGTGTGTGTGTGTGTGTGTGGAGGCTCCTCCGTAACAAAGGCCCAGTCGTGTTTATGGTGAGGAGAGATTAAAATGGATCGCGGCAGAAGCAGTGAGCTGTTGCTGCACAAGCCTCTCAATGACTGATTAGTGCTGCGGCACAATGTGGAGAAAAGGCCCTTTATTTACAGTAGCAGCAGTATGGTGGCCTGGTAGGAAATTGGGGGATATTTTAAGAGAATAATAACTGTGGGACAAAGACAAGCCGGAGACGGGCTCTTGTGGATAAACAGGGTGAAGATAAAGGCAAGGAGAAGGACCACTGCAGACCCTCCATGTGGAGAAGGACCGCTGCAGACCCTCCATGTGGAGAAGGACCGCTGCAGACCCTCCGTGTGGAGAAGGACCACTGCAGACCCTCCATGTGGAGAAGGACCGCTGCAGACCCTCCATGTGGAGAAGGACCACTGCAGACCCTCCACGTGGAGAAGAACCACTGCAGACCCTCCGTGTGGAGAAGGACCTTTGCAGACCCTCCACGTGGAGAAGGACCACTGCAGACCCTCCACGTGGAGAAGGACCACTGCAGACCCTCCGCGTGGAGAAGAACCACTGCAGACCCTCCGCATGGAGAAGGACCACTGCAGACCCTCCGCGTGGAGAAGGACCACTGCAGACCCTCCACGTGGAGAAGGACCGCTGCAGACCCTCCACATGGAGAAGGACCGCTGCAGACCCTCCACATGGAGAAGGACCACTGCAGACCCTCCACGTGGAGAAGGACCACTGCAGACCCTCCACGTGGAGAAGGACCACTGCAGACCCTCCGTGTGGAGAAGGACCGCTGCAGACCCTCCGTGTGGAGAAGAACCACTGCAGACCCTCCGCGTGGAGAAGGACCACTGCAGACCCTCCGCGTGGAGAAGGACCACTGCAGACCCTCCACGTGGAGAAGAACCACTGCAGACCCTCCGTGTGGAGAAGGACCGCTGCAGACCCTCCACGTGGAGAAGGACCACTGCAGACCCTCCACGTGGAGAAGGACCACTGCAGACCCTCCGTGTGGAGAAGGACCGCTGCAGACCCTCCGCGTGGAGAAGAACCACTGCAGACCCTCCACATGGAGAAAATAATAATTGAGGTGTGGTCTGGTTTTAAGATTCAATTAATTCTCAAAATAAGCAAAGTTTCCTTTTGAAACAAACAATGAACAATCAGTAAAATCCGCCCAGTGAACTCCTGAATCGGTCACCGCGCCTCACCGACGGAGAGACCACGTTCACATAGTTAAGGCTGGTGGGAAGCGTTGGCTCTTGGTAAAGAAGATTAAAAACCACGAAAAAAAAACAGTTGCCTGTTTGAAACCGTAATGTTGTGACCGTGTTTGCTCACGTTCTCAGCTGTAACTTCAGAGTGGGATCCGTGGTCCTCTGGGACGGCGGCCATCACTTGTCTTTCCGCTGTGCTGATGAACCTGCGGCGTCCGTTCGCTCTGCTGCGGATGGGGGGACGTGCAGTCGGTGGACTGTGAGAATCGGTACGTGGGAGCCGGACGGACGGCGCTGGAAAGAAGATGAACTCCGGCTTCTCAGCCGCACGCTGACCGACTGCCTTCAACTGATCGTGCATCAATAAGTCAGCGTGACGCTCAGAAGGGAGAGACATGAGAAGTTTATTTCAGATGACGTCTCTTCATAAATGATGCCTTTACGAAGCATATGGAAAAAGAAAAGGTTAAATGAAGAGGGGGGAAGTCATTGACTCAAACAGCAACATACTGTATCTGAGCCATAAGCCTCTTAAGCTTTCTGCAGACGTCTGCATCCGTTGTTCGTATCGGATGCTGTAAGTTGGAAGCCAGTGAAGTCCGTGTATTTTCCAGCGGGAGGTGACGCGATGCTGGATGTGAAACAGTCACCCTCTCATCTTCCTCAGAAGTTCAACTACACAAACAAACGTTTGACACCAACTGTCCTGTTTGTTTTCTTGTTGTAATGTAAAACTGTAGCCAAGCAGAACTGAACTATTAATCTATTCTATTCTATTTCGACCAGTCAAAGTAAAGGAGAATGGGACCAACACTTTGGTATCATTATTACTTTGACATGTTGTTCTTGTGTCTGCTGTCACAAGGTAATAAATGAAACTTGATGCATTCCTGCTTTTCCTACTTTCTCCTCGGTGGCTCCAGTATCTTGATCCCCCCCCTCTTTCAGCTGTAATGACAGTCAGCAGGGCTGATAGGCAGATATATTTACTCTGGAGGCCCGGGAGGAAGCGCTGTCCAGCCTGTGGGCGGTGGCAGGCGGGGCTTAGAGGAAACCCTCGCCGGGTAGCCCCTCCCCGAGGGGGGCATATCTCCCTGTCGTCCCGGGCCCTGCTCCTAGTTCTCGGCTCGATGGGACCAGAGCTTCACTGGCCTGCAGACTCCCACATCTCTCAGAGAGAGAGAGCAGAGGCAGGAGGGAGCAGACACCTCCCCTCCACAGCTGGCTCCACTCCATCTCACCTCAGCCTGGAGCCCGGCGGGGCGCAAGTGTGTCGCGCTGCCCAAGAGTGTGTCGCTTCCTTTTACAACTTTTGAACACTGGAACTGTACTGAACGCATTATGACTCTTCTGGGCTCTGAACACTCCATTCTGATAAGAAGCAAGTTCAGATCAGGTAAGTCAGAGACCCGGTTTATTCTTAAGCGCCTCGCAGCAGTTTGAAGGGAATCCTGTGTGCGTCTGTTGTGGGTGCAGTTGTGTTGACACTGAGGGTCTGCTGTTTGGTGACAGCGGGTCAGACCCCCTGAAGAAGCCTGACGCGTTGGACGATCCCGGCAGGTTGGTGCACTTGTTGCTGACCTGTGCGCAGGCCGACGGGGGAGGGGTCAGAGGTTATCTTGACGTGGAGGCCGACGTGTAGCCGTGTGCGGGTGTGTGTCAAAGAGAGGACGACATGGCTGATTTAAACTCCCCTTAAGACGCAGCAGCTGTTGGGGCTTTGTGTCCATCGATCTCCTTCACGCACAAACTCCGTCACAGACGCACACGTTCTGTCTTTATTTTCCACATTGGTCCATGAGGCTGAGCGTGTAGTCGGATCAACACTGCCACCTCCCTGAGGGAACTGAAACTGGTGGCACGAGTGAATTCACACTGGTGGCCGAGCGGCTTCAGTCTTCACAGCAGTTTTTTCCTCTGAGCTGTAATTGCCGGCAGAGTAAATGATGCTCTTCCTCCGAGTTGTTTAGGGGAGGGAAACGACGCGATGCAGCAGCGGGAGGCTTCTCGCTGACGCGCTTCTGCTCAGCGGGGCGACGTGTACAGATGATGAGCGTCTTCATCGATGTCCGCAAGATGCTGCAGTCGGAGGCTCTGACCTTGTCCATGCAGGGCGCATGTTCTGCCTGTGAAAGTGAAAATCGGCCGACGTGCTCGTGCTAAATGTGCCGTTCTTTAGGCTGGAGCAGCTCCGGTTAGATTCAGCGCCGCGTGAAAACCGCCAGCCGTCGCTCCTTCTGCACCGCGAACCATGAGAAGTGCTGCTGCCGGCGTGGAGCTGGAGCGATAAAGATCCCCGTGAAGGGCCGAGGCTCCGTGGCGCCGTGTTAGCGGCTCGTTGTCGTGACGATTTGATTGACAGCTCGAACGTGTTCGCCAGGACTCTGGAGAGGCGTCAAATTAGTGGTTGAAGGAGAAATGAACGCGGCTTTTAGCTGGTGGGGGACAGAAGGTCAATGCAACACGTACTTTAGGAATAAGACAAGTTGATTAATGACATTAATTCATTTCCCTTTTTGACTATTGAAAAGTTGTAGACGTACTTATAATAATATGAGAGACTAAACAGTCACACAGACACCAATTTACCTGCAATGGTTTGACTTTTAAGCTCAAGAGGCTTTTATTTCTACTTTCCCACTGACTATGTTCAATAATGTGATGAGATCAGACTTGCCGTTCTGCCTGCAGGCGGATTTTCACCGTATGCAGCGGTAATGAACCCGAGTCTTCATTCAGGAGTTCCTATCTGTTAGAGGCTGTACAGTCACGCTCATACAAACACACTCCAGCTTGTGCAGAGAGACAAACGCAGCCCAGTTGAGGTGACAAAGTGTGTTGTTACCATATTTCTTGTCGCGGGGCTTTAAACCGCAGTAAATCTCCAAATATCTACACTGGCGTCTGTAATTATCACCACTTCACCAGTGAAATAATCCTTAGTTTACACTGTAGACCTGAGAACCTGTAAGTATTGCTGTAGATTTGTACGTCCTTTGTTGTCGGACGTTGTGAACGCTGACAGAGCGGCGGTCTGGTTCTGTGGTTCCACCGCTCGTCCTCTTTCTGCATCGCTTCACTCTGCAGGCCAGAAAAAGGAGGAGGAAGACGAGTTCATGGCAGCTGCTGCACAATCTTTCATCTTGTAATATGTTGAGCAGCGTTCACGTTAAACACACTGCAGAATTCTGACATGACATCAGCATATATACGGTTGAATTTCGGCCTCTCGTGACTAACCGTCGTGTTTTAGCTCGTTTTGTCAGCGGGGCAGAAGTCCTACCGAGTGCTTCAGGATTTTAGCCATTTTTGGGTGTTTTGTTAGAATTAAAGCTCAGTATTTAATGCAGCACGATTACTAAGAGCACAGTAAAAAGCACAGTGAGTTCTGTGAGATTAAGCGCTCTTTGTCGGAGAACTGTGGATTAATTGATTACTATCCCAAATCCAATTTTCACTCAACCTTTTCCGAGGTTTTTACATTTTCCAGTGTTCAGTATTCAGCCAGCTGCTGACGCCCACGTTTCCTCTGGGAGATGCTAAAGTTGAAGGGAAGGTGCTGCTGTTGCATAATGGGGGGCAACAAAATCCTTACGTTAAGACCACAAAGTCCCAAAAGACAGTCAAATGAATCAACAACGGGGGAGAGCAGCAGAGAGGAACACATCATACGTGTGTCAGACCCAGGAACCTCCAGATAACCACGAGGAGGGAAAACACGCCACAGACACGGGGGAGGCTCTGTGTTTATGACCCCGCACGCCGCACCGGACCACCTCTGCACACACACACACACACACACACACACAGGGGAACGGGCACACGCGCCGCGGACCACACACGCGCACATCTGTTTAAAGCCAGGAGCCGTGTTTATCGCTGCCTGCATCCTGCTCACAGATGTTTGTCAGCAGGCTGTTCTGTATGTATGGAGGAGCGTGTTCTCTCTCATTTCAGAGAGTAGGATCAGTGATGCGGTGGTTTAGTGTAACTGTGACGGGCCGTAGTGCTTCGTACTTACCTGTTATGAGGCGCGCGCACACACACACACACACACACTCACCAAGACATCGTCATTAAATATCCGTTAATGACAGAAACACCAAATGAAATACATTTCATTTGTTTAGTTCATTTATTCCCGGTTAGCCTTTGTGTGTATTTCAGAGCTGCAGTTTGTTGGATGCAGTGAGGTTTCGTCCACGCATGCGATCCACTGAGCTACAACGTAAAGCCGCCTGTCATTATGTGACAATGCTGTTGGCGTGTGATGAGGAGGAGTAGAACAATAAATAACCTGTACAGGTTATAGAAGAGACAACTGTCTCCTGCGTAAAACTAGTGAGCTGCTTTTTGTCTTTGAGTTCACCAGATCAAATTTACTTTTCACTTTATAAATGTAGTAGTCTTAAGCCAAACGTGCCTTGTTCTCTAAAACTAAGCTAACTAATGTTTGGTTTGACCTCCCCACGTTAACCCCGTGTTTACTGGACTGGATATATGGCGTCGTATTAGAAGCGCAGAGCGCCGCAGCGTGCGGTGCCACAGGTCCTGACCAGCAGTCTTTATTTTTATCACACTGCAGGTCCAAATTGTGAGTAGACTGTTGAATTCTCAGTCTTTTCCTGCTTTTTGTCTATCTCTTACCTGTCTGTCCACATCTCTTTTCCATCTCTTCCCCTCCTCCTCCTCCTCCTCCATCTTTAGTCCTACAGTTAAGACTTCAGCAGAGGAGGACACGAGAGCAGCTGGCAGACCAAGGCATCATGCCTCGTGAGTAACGCCTTCCAACACGCAGGCGTCACACGCACACACGCCTTTCCACTCACGTGCCTCTAAATGCAATATGAACAACTGTAAATACAGTGAACAGGCAAGTAGACAACAATAAGTAATACAGTTTACATGTTCAAAGCAACATCTAAATGCACTGAAGGTAAACCAAATGCATGTTTGGATTGTACAGAGCAACGGGGACGTACTTTATCTTTAGTGATTGATAGTAGTAGTGTTTCAGACCCTGCACAATAAAACCCAACTCCTAATAGTTACATACTTAGAGTGTTTAATTTGGGTGATGTGACACTACGATGTGTGACGTGGAAGGAAAATGGCGTTATCACGACCACCATTATCTCCACCGCGCACAGCCAGAGGAGATACGGTCCTGGTCAGGTGTCTGTCCGCCTGTCAGCTCTCTTACACACAGCGGATAACTGTGCAGAGGAATTCCTCCATGTGTCAAACAGAAGGGGGGTAAGTGGCAAACGGACCACTTAAAGCACTGCTATGCTAAGCTAGCTGCTGGGCTAAGCTAGCTGCTATGCTACTTCCATCTCAACATCTAACGTTGGTTTGAAAAAGTTCTGGCTAAATGTGGGTTCAACATGTTCCACCAGGTGGAAATCTGCCTCCAAGATGATCAAATATGTGTAGTTTTGTTTTTAAAATAACATTAAAAAATGTGCGATTAGTTCATTTTTAATCTATTGATTTTATATGATCGGGTACTTTTAAACAACATTTTGATCCATTGAACAATTACATTTTTAAACTATCTATTAAACCTACACATTCTGAACAATTATAGTTTTAAGCAGTCTATTGGTAGTTAGTTAGCATGCATGCTACTAAACTGATCAACAATTAGGTACAAGCTAATAATAAGGTATATATGCAATTTTATTGAACAAGCAACTTAAGTCAAATAATGACGTGGTGTAGTAGGCATCTCTTTCCAGGCTGTTGTGCCTGTGCGCTGATGATCCACGAGAGATAAGAAATTGTTCATCTTAACGTTAATTACACGCAAAGGTAATACTTAAGCTAGAAGGTACAAAAGGCTGTACTTTATCATAAAATATTGACGATAAAGTACAGCCTCAAATACCTTATTGCTTTAATACGGTTACCAGCGACATTATAAATAGTAAGTAAATAGCCACCTTCAGCACAAAATAGTTAGCCACCATACGTTGTGTATCACATTTCACAATGACAAAAATGTTGTAGTCAGGCAAACCGCCAACAGGGGGCGTAGTTTGTTTCCGCTGGTGCTAGCGCCACATGCGTGCATACACGGACGCAATCATGCACGTGTCGGGGCAGGACTCCAGTGCGAGGGGAGAATTTTCAGGGTGGGCGGGGTAGATTTCAGGAGGGGGGGGGCTGTTATAAAGGTAGACACTGGATGTCATATGTACAGAATGTAAAAGATGTACATTACCTTCAATTCATGCGACATTAATTATTTGAATACTACCATCAGACATAGTAGATGTCAGGCAGATATATCAACCGTCCACAGAAACCTGTAAGGAGGGAAAGCACAAAGACTGCAGGAAAGAAGAAAGGTCAGTAACGTTGGTTCATGATGACAGTAATAGTAATGTAACTAATAATAATGATGATAGCAGCATTGGGTGTCAGCAAGGCCATAGCACGAGGCAGCACCAGGGTACAGATATAACCATGAGCCATGGAAACCTCTGAGGTGAGAAAGCACGAACTCCAGGGAAGAAGCTAAATCAGTGATATGTTATAGTGAGATGTGACCTGTTATAGGAGAGAGAGAAGAGAGGAGCTCACTGTGTCCTAAGAAGCCCCCCGCGAGTCTAGGACTATAGGGCTGGTCCAGTCTAACCTGAGCCAGCCCTAACTGTACGTATAATTACTTATACAACTCAAAGCAAAGTCTTAAGCTTGGTCTTAAATCAGGTGACTACTTTTTAAGACTCTAGGAACAACAAGTAACCCAGCATTTATTGCGCGCAGCTCTCTATTAGGGCAATATGGTAGTTGTGATTAGATTACCCACGGGTTCTCTTGGGGCATAATAATGTGGAAACAGACACTTGGGCTGTTTGGAGTTACTTGTTTTGACATCCGACCCAGTGCGTGGTTTTGCTCTCATGGCCTGTCCTAAGCGAGAACTGTGTTCGGGCGCTCGGCAGTATGTCGGAGGTGTTTCCGGTGGGGGTTGGCCTTCGCCAGGGCTGCGCCTTGTCACCAATCTTGTTTGTGGTTTTCATGGACAGGATATCGAGGCGTAGTCTGGGGAGGGTGGTCTACAGTTCGGGGGCTGCGGATCTCATCGCTGCTTTTTGCAGATGATGTGGTCCTGATGGCATCTTCCGTCTGTGACCTCCAACTCTCACTGGAGCGTTTCACAGTCGAGTGTGAAGCGGTCGGGATGAGGATTAGCACCTCTAAATCTGAGGCCATGGTTCTCAGCAGGAAACCGATGGATTGCCTACTCCAGGTAGGGAATGTGTCCTTACAGTAAATTAAGTGGTTCAAGTACATCGGGGTCTTGTTCACGAGTGAGGGAAAGATGGAGCGGGCGTTTGGCCGGAGAATCGGTTGAAATGGGTGTCCTTGTGAGGAGGGGCGGCGTCTCCCCTAGGCTGAAAACCTTGGAGTAGAGACGCTTCTCTTTTACGTTGAAAGGAGCCAGTGTAGGTAGTTTGGGGATCTGGTAAGGATGCCCTCTGGGGGTCCCGCTAGGGAGGTGTTCCAGGCACGGCAAGCTTGGAAGCCCCGGGAAGCACCCAGGTCTAGGTGGAGAGATTCTCTCTGTACACCAACCTGGGAAGGCTTTGGGATCCCCAGTCAGAGCTGATAGATGTGGCCCGGGAAAGGGAAGTTTGGGCTCCCCTGCTGGAACCGACCCTGGATAAGCGGTTGACTATGAGATGGTGCTCAGACCTTCTTCCCATGTTTCCTTAATCAGGTCAAGCACCCCCTGTGGTTTCTGCCAAACAAAAAAAATCCTGTGGAGGCCTGTGGATCCTTCCACACTGCAAACAAAAGGGGATAAAGCCACTCATCCCAATAACTTTCATTCTTGTGAATAAACTTACAGATCATGGACTTTAAAGTTGTATTCAACTGTTTCAGTAGACCGTCGAAGTAACAAGGAGAGAAACACAAGAGCAAAAACATCCCGTTCATTGTGGATAATATGAGCGTAATTGCACGCCTCCTTGGCTCAATCGCTGCTCTTGGATTAGAATCTTAACACAGAAGCATCATTTCACATGAATCAGATCATTGAGTCTGATCTATATCAAGACATGTATAGAGAGCTAAGATGTTGACTACTTATATACTGCCTTTTTAAAAGGAATAAAATGATTTCAAATGCCAGCTGCTTGTAAAATAACAAGAAAGAAGAGCAAACTAAAGATGGAGACAGAGAAATTCAAAGAAGCAATACATCAGTGAAATAACCTGCAGCAGTATCAACATGGGTGTATTCAAAATAAAAAATGAGTAAAAAATAAATATATAAACACTCTAAAGAGCACAATGTATAAATATTTGCATGCATCAGGCAAATGCTAAAATGCACCATGCGTTTTTTGCCAATGTTGCACAAGAATTGGTGACATGTTACAGCAGTGGTCACAGGTCAGTGTGTGTGTGTGTGTAGTGGGGGTGTTATCAGTGCTGTGGGGTGTTATTTAATCAAATGACTGCAGATTAAAACATTGAAGACTGACAATGATAGTGGACGTAGGCGAAGCAGGTGTACAAATGCACTCAACAGGCAGCTGGCGCGCATGCAGACAGGTCGGTGAGTGACCGCAGAGGAATGCTCTCGTGCTGGAAGAGGCTCTCGACTTCAGAAGAAATAGATTTACATAGACGGTACCTGTTTACAGAACAGCGCCTGCAGAGAGGACCAAGTACAACAACACGGAGCATGAACTGCCTCTTATTAGACACATGCTTTCTACTTTTAATGTCACATCGTAATGCGAACAACTAGACATACGAGTGCTGAACGCTCTCTTAAATCCTTATTATTGCTGCGACTGATGGTCTCTCGTGTTCTTGGGCTTGTGACGGCACTGTAACCCAACACAACACAGGACAAACATGTCTTTTTCGCAGGCATTTACAAGATTACAATTCAAACATAAACCTAAAGTTTGAGTTTAGAGCACGAGACAGCTCAAGCCAGATGGACCCTTATGAACAATGATCCTCTCGCTTCCTTATAATCGGCTCGGCAAACATGGGTGCAGTGAGCGATACCAGTGTGTAGTGTAACAACAGGGGACGGGGGGACTGTTGTTGGGAATGATATCCCAGGCACTGTTTGCCATTTCACAGAGCCTCCAGATAAACTGTTGGTAAGTGTGCAGGAGAATGGAATCCAGAGGCCCAGCAAGGCCCTATCAGCCAGGAGGCTGACAGATAAGGAAGCAAGAAGCAACGCAATTGGCCAGCCAAGCTGTAAGCGCCTTTTTAAAGTAGAAATTCAAATGGTTGTTTATCTTTTGTAGATTGTAAAAGATGGCACACATGGAAGAGGGTTACAAAGTCTTGTATTTTGTTGGAACAGCCTTTCTCACACAAACGCGCTAAGAGTCTTATCTCTCTAACAGCAGCTCTTAATGTCAAAAAACAGGAGATTTTTCAGGGCGTCACAGCACCCTCCTGTCCTGCTGCCGTGGATCCTTCGGAGGCGGCCTGTGTTATTCCTGCTGGGGAGATGGACACGGCACAGGGTCTATGTATATATTACCCAGGGAACATCTGGTGTTTATTAGGCTGATGGAGAATCCGCCCCAGCCTCTCAGGCCTGACTGGCGTGTGGCCCGCATGGGAGCACACTGTCTGCCTGCCGGCCACGGGCCTGAATACACACACACACACACATGCTATCTAATATTTCCTCATAAAGATAATAGGGCTGTAGCTGCAGGTTTACTGTGCTTTTTCCTGCATAAAAGAACACGCATCTCCATTCCGCCGGCAGCGGTGCTTTAATCCTCAGTGGATGGAAACACGAAGGGAATTATTCCTGCCTAATGCACCATACGTCTTACCTCTAGTGCTGTTTACATCCGACAGATACGGTCAGCAGGTATATGTTTTGTTCAATAGGTTAGAAGTGTGTTGTATATTTTAACACTGCTGCAGAATGTTTGAAAGTCAGTAAGCCGGCTTCAGACTCACCGGATCTTGTTACATTATGCCCCGGTGGGCTTGTGCGGCCAGTCGGATGCTTTTTGGGAAGTTTGGCTACACAGTTTAAACACACGCAGAGCTCCGTTTGACCCTGTGATGGCATCTGGGGAATAAAGATTCTGTGGGCAGTTATCTTATAGATGATGATGTCATCCTACGGCAGTCCGATGTGACACGTCTGCTTCACCCACTGGCCCTAATGGTTGGCCTTCAGCCCTTCATCTGAGTGGCCTTCAGCCCTTCATCTGAGTGGCATTCAGCTTCAGCCCTTCATCTGAGTGGCCTTCAGGCCTTCAGCTTCAGCCCTTCATCTGAGTGGCCTTCAGCTTCAGCCCTTCATCTGAGTGGCCTTCAGGCCTTCAGCTTCAGCCCTTCATCTGAGTGGCCTTCAGCTTCAGCCCTTCATGTGAGTGGCATTCAGCCCTTCATCTGAGTGGCCTTCAGCTTCAGCCCTTCATCTGAGTGGCATTCAGCCCTTCATCTGAGTGGCCTTCAGCTTCAGCCCTTCATCTGAGTGGCATTCAGCCCTTCATCTGAGTGGCATTCAGCTTCAGCCCTTCATCCGAGTGGCATTCAGCCCTTCATCTGAGTGGCATTCAGCCCTTCATGTGAGTGGCATTCAGCCCTCTGCTGCTGTGTTAAAGCTGTGTTTCATTCTCTTTAAATAAAGAACTCTTCTCTCTGTCATTATTTTTTCCTTCTCTCTTTCCTGATTTCCTTCATAGCTCTTTTTGCTTCATTTTCTTTCTGACCACAAAAAGTTCTTCTTCTGTACATTTTATCTGCATTAATCACATATTCCTAACCCAACCCACGTCTGCATTTTCCCGTTTCATTTCTGACGTTTTTTTATGAAGTGCTACATTTCAAATCTTTGTATTATATGGAAAAACTTGAATAGCACAGCAGAAACTAAATAGCATTCCTTTTATTTTGGCACCGTATCACTCAAATATCCTACTAGAATTATATTTGACCAAATAAGTGCCGGTGCGCTGTGGTGTGCTCCACCTGTGAGCGCTGTGCATAGAATGGAAACCAAGCTCCAGCACTGATTATTTATTCTGGATTTAACAGGGAGAGATTGTGGGAGATCAAAAATCTCACCTGTTACAGCCTTTAATTACAGCCGTTTATTTGTCTGGTACTCAAAGTGTCCGTCTGAACGGGGAGTGGACAAGCTGAGCAGATTTTGCACAAGATCCAAGACAAAAATATTGATTATGGATTGTTGAGGGATGCCACGCGCACCGTGTTCTGTTAAAGAAATGACCTGTGAATACGACTTAATGAATACAAAACATACAATTTTGGTGTAATTTAACTCAGAAGTACAGTGTGACGTCAGCGATTTTTGTTTTAAGATAAAGTTTGTCATTTGTTGATGAATTAACTTAAATATTTATTTATTAGTACTGATGCCTGTGGAGGAAACATGTAAAGTCATTGTTGAATCTAGTAGACCAGGACTATTGAACTACAAATAAAATGTATTAAAATATATATATATATATATATATAATTAATTAACAAATGTCGGGGTCGTCGTGGCGCAGGGGTTAGAGAAGGTGTGCTGGGAGCACAAGGTTGGTGGTTCGATTCCAGGCTGCCCCTTGTTCCATGTCGAAGTGTCCCTGAGCAAGACACCTAACCCCTAATAGCTCCCCGGGCAAAAAAAATGTGGAAAAAAAAAAAAAAAGCCATGGGTTTACCGTGTAATGTAAGTCGCGTTTGATAAAAGCGTCTGCTAAATGACACGTATTGTAATGTAATGGTAATGTAATGTAATGATATTTTATAATAGTCGTGGAAGTGGATCGAAGTAAATGACTGAAGCGAGAGAACTGAGACTTCCCGTGTGTATATTTAGTCTGAAGTGTGAACTAGCCGTCTCTCCCTGGTGTGTCCTGCTGTGTGATGTCAGACGCCGGCTCTCTGGAGGCCCACGCGGGGCTGAAGCGTGGACCTCCGTGAGGTCCTAAAGAACACCACATGGGGCCAGTGAGAGGCTGCTGTAGCATCCATGAACAGGACGTGTGCGTTAAACTCAAAAAAGCATGTTCTGCTAAACACAAGTTACACAAGTTACTCTAAACATTTATTTACCAAATACAAAGAATCTTAAAAAGCCAATAACATTTTCCACAACAAACCCACATTAGTTGCTATTCATGGCTTATAACTAATCAATAAAGCATTAGTATGTTATGTGAAAATGATCGATCAGTTTTAAACCCTCCTTTTAGAAAGCGGTCCCAAAACATATTGGAAATGATTCTTTAGACTCTGTTTTCCCTCATTAACATTATCCACAGTTTGTATTTCTTGCACAGAGAATGTTATTTACATTTTTTCTAACCCTCAACATGTTACTCACTCTCGATATCACTCCTTGCAATGCGACTAGTGTTTTTTGCACTTGTTGTTTTAGGGGTTTTACGTTGGCCCCCCCTTGTGCTTCCAGTAAACATGTTGCGTAAAGCGGCGTCTGCGCTCAGCTGGGATCCACTACCTCCACTGGAGGAAGCGAGGGCCGTTTATTGAGATGAACAGCAGCTGTATTTGGGTCCACCCTTTTTGGAGTGGCGGTGGGTGTTTAAGTTTGAGTGCATCCTTGTGTGGGTGTACCTGGGTGTACGTTTGTGCCTCCCTCCTTTTGTCTCTGCTTTAACGGGCCTCCACGAGTCCAGCCAGCCACCTAAAAAGCTCTGTGACGGGACCAGGCTGTTGTGCTCCCTCGCCTGCAGCATTAACCCCTCACCTTAAAGCTCTATATCCCTCTACACAACATTTCAAGAGACCTTTTCAACCCCTGTCATTTTGGAAACTATGTGACCCGCTGTAACTTCTAAACCAGCCACTTGAAAAGCGGAAGCGCACACGGCCTGCAGATTTCCTGCAATTCTGTCATCTCAATCTCCCGCTGACATCAACTTGACTTAAGAGGCGCATGGAAGCGGCATGCAGCAGCAGAGAGGGCGAGCGCCAACGCCAGCAAATTCCCATGTGAGCCATTGAGAATGCATGTTGGGGAGTGAATGAGTTAAACATGACCCGTGGGAGGAAACGGCTGTGTGTGAAGCTCTGTGCGTGTGTGTGTTGTGAGGTCACTGAGTGGCACATGTCCTTTTGACGTGTCTGGACACAAAAAGAGAATTGTACACCTCTCTGTACAAACAAACACAAAAACGCACAGCAACCCTTTCCACCTCCTCCACCGGCTCTGTCCCCTCAGCTCTGTTAGAAAGCCACTCTTAGCTCCTCCAATGAAAGGTGTGTTCGCTATCGGCCCGTGTTGAATGGGAGTGCTGGTGTCTCCCCGCACAGCGTAGCACCTTCAGGCTGAGTGTCACACGAGGTGTCCGTGACACACAGCAACAGGCAGGCAGGGTGTGAGGACCACTGAGCAGGGCCATGCAAACACACCGTCTGCAGTCATCAATGCTGAGGCTGCACCGGTTACCTGCAAGCAGTTCGCCATCAACCAAAACGTTTCGCCCTTTTGACCTCTGTGATGACCTCTATGTACCCTTTTGTTGTTGTTCTGCATATGAGTTGAATAGAGTTTGTTATGAAGGCTCAATTGCAAATCATCTTGCAAGTCCTACTGTGTTATATGATCCGCTGCATGGCTCACTGCTTTCACACACACACACACTGTACTGCTGTCAATCACACTGCGCTGCTGCACTCACGCACACCGTGTTACTGCTTTCACACACGCTGCACTGCTACGCAACACATCTTCCTATTTAGTCCAGTATAATTCTCCTAAAGTTCATTAGGCCTCTATAGGCCACGCCCCCAACAAGTCCTGCACTAGTCACTAAAAAGAAGAAAGATCAGACGTCACACTTTAAACAGGTCAGATATCTATTTTTTGACAGACCAAAGACTGACAGTAAGATCATTTTCACCGACCGTGGTAGTTGACTCACACGCACGATATTAAGTATTATTGGTGACATTTTAGATCATGAACAAACCTGGTCAGTTGTGTTTCTTTCCTCATGTTTTCTTTGTTATGTTCACGGGTTCAGCAGCCTAAATACTGTGGGATAGTTATCACAAAAAGGACGTCTTAACAACTAAAATAAAAACCCAGATGTAGGAAACAGGAATCCTTCTTCCATTTCTAAGTAATCTGCAGGTGAGGCGTGCTGACCCACGCGTCTCCCTTTGTGCTCTTCCTACAGTAAACCATGGTAAGTTTCCGAAGCAGGAGGACTCTTATGCGTTCGAGGAAGACAGCAGCAGTGAGAGTCTGTCTCCGGAGCAGCACCACAGTGATGAGTCACAGGGATCCGCCTGTCCTTCATCGGAGACTGTTGGCAGTACGCCCTCCTCCTCCTCCTCACCTGCCCTGACCAGCCCAAGACAGGTAAAAGACAGCGCTGTCTCTCGGATGCCTCATTCCCTTCTGTCACCGTCCGGCCTTGTGGCGCCTCAGCAGCTGTTCCCAGTGCTTTGCTTACTCTGCTCTCTAGTGGTGAAACAGTGAACATCAACTCCATCCTCAGCCACTGAGTGTCTAGACAAGTGTCCTATTCTTTTGGCCAGAGCCATTCTGCCGGCACAGCTGCTTTTATTTCCCGTCTGTTTACCGTTCACCATCATCAACAGTCTCATGAAATCTGAAATTCATACAGGATTGTGTATATAAGTCAGACTTCTGCCTCTCCAATGTTCCATCAGCTCTGAATCAACAACTGGGCTGATTAAAAGTAGAACTCTCTCCAACACGCTTGACCAGGAGATTGAGCCTGTTTACCATGACCTTTTTAAACATCACTATGTCAGAGTTCTCATTGTAAGAATGTTGGCTCAAGTGGAGCCTCACAGAGCTGCTTGCATGGCCACTTTGAGTCTTCCACTTCAATGACTTATTGTTCAAGATTTAAAAATGCTAAAAATAGTGGCATGCCCTGTTTTATTCAACCAGGACTCCAGTAATTGGAGTTAATCCATCAAAACAATATACATTTATTTTAGAGTTGGTTAGCGTGGCTGTGACTGGACCGAAATGGCGACTGTGGCTCTGTGGTGAGCAGGGTTGTCTTTTTAAATCAGAGGGTCTGTGGAGCTGTCCCCGGGTTCACCAGTCTCCATGTGTCTTTGGGCGGGACACTTAACCCCAACATTGCTGTGTGTTCCTGATGGGCAGGTGGCGTGAATGATGACAGGAAGTGGACTCCATGAACCATAAAGAGTGTGTTGTCTGCTTTGCAAACAGGAATGTGGAAACAGAGACCCCCTTGATCAAGGCCAGGATGAAGGGCTGTCTGGTGCCAACAACCATCAGACCTCCCCCCCAATACCTGTTCCTACTATTGTCAAGGTCAGTAACAGTTAATGAAGTTACTTTCATCGTCACAATGCTTTTTGATTTGGTGACTCTCCTTGGTTTTATACGTTTTATTGGTCGGGGTCCGGCTCTAACCCCAACAAAACCCAACCCTGACCATCAGCCCTTTCTATACCACCCTGCTTCCTCCAAACAGTCCAAGACTTCAGACAAGAACCGACACAAGAAGCCCAAAGATGTGAAGCCGAAAGTGAAGAAGCTCAAGTACCACCAGTACATTCCTCCGGACCAGAAGTCTGAGAAGTCCCCTCCTCCCATGGACTCGGCCTACGCCCGACTCCTCCAGCAGCAGCAGCTCTTCCTACAGCTGCAGATCCTCAGCCAGCAGAAACACGCTCACGCACACCCTCAGACACAGCAGCCCTCACACACCCCACAGACACAGGCCCAGGCCCAGGCCCAGCAGCGGCAGCCCTCCTTCAGCTACCAGCCTCACCCAGCAGCCCAAACCCAGAAGTGAGTCACACTCAGGGACAAGGGATCCTCATTAAACATGATCAAATCATCAATATCTGAGCTCTCCTGTCAGCATTGTCTGGAGTTTTCAATCACAAGAGTTTTGGTTTGTTCCACTGATGGTCACTTGATGACAGCTTAGACAAGTCAGCAAGCACCATTAACGGATACGAACTATGTGATTCATTCGAAAGATCTAGAAAAATATGTTTTTTGAATAAATATTATTCATCAATTTACTGTTACTATGGTCAAGAAAGGAACTTCCGGAATGCTTAAAATGTACACTTTGATCACTTTTACCATTTTTATCACAAAGCGTTGGAACCAATGGTGTTATTTGCTAAATGATTAATTCCAAATGAACTAATGCCAAATAGATCTTTATTATTTCTTTATATTTCAGTGCAATAGACCACCATACCCTCTAACCTTTATCAATGCATTACTAATGCGACTAACCCATTGATTTTGTGCCCCTGAAGAGGAGCCAGTGAGCAGCTGTCAGGCTGTAGCCCCAGCGGTCCATCCAGCCAAGCCAACAGTAACTCCTCCTCCCCAATCAAGAACACATACACCAACCAAAGCCACATCTCCCCCCTCCAACCTGGGCCGCTGCCAACTAATCTAGATGACCTAAAAGTAGGTGACACGCAAGAAAAATTGACACGAAAGTGTCTGAAAGAGAAGTTAACATATCTGTATTTGCTGTCAGGTATCAGAGCTCAGGCAGCACCTGCGTATTCGTGGCATGCCTGTCTCCGGCACCAAGACGGCCCTCATCGACCGTCTCCGACCATTCAAGGACTCCAACGCCGGCTCCTCGCCATCCAGCTCCTCTGACATCACCACGGGGACTTTCCCTGTCACACCCACGGGATCCCTGTCCTCCTACCAGTCCCCGTCCTCCTCCAGCACCGTGTCCCAGGGAGGCTACTACCCTTACCCCAGCACCTCCTCCACCCCTCCTATTTCTCCTGCCTCCTCCGAGCTGTCCCTCAGCGGCTCTCTCCCGGACAGCTTCGGCGACATGCCCATGTCCTCGCCGAGGCAGTTTGGTCTGCAGCCATCTCCGATGGAGGACGGCCTGGCTGGGGGAGGCCAGAGGGTAGGGGAGGGTGGAGGAATGGATGGCGAGGAAGCTGAAAAAGATAAGATGTTAGTGGAAAAGCAGAAGGTGATAGAGGAGCTAACGTGGAAGCTTCACCAGGAGCAGAGACAGGTGAGTAACCAGCCGTGCATCAGTCTACAGTTGAGGTTCAAGTCATCAATAAGGATATAAATAAAAGAAGCCATGGTGGCAACAACAAATGTTTTTCGCAAGCTTTAATGTCGTAATCATGTTCTCTGCTACAGCCGGCATTAAATAATAGGTTACCCTACGCAGCGTCTTTAGAGGGACATTTAACGAGATGCACTGTAAATACTTCTGTACTGACATGTTTACTTTACGCTTGCTAGGTTGAGGAACTGAGGATGCAGCTCCACAAGAGGAAACGCTGCTATGTAGCAACACAAGACACTGTCCACCCTCCTCCTCACCCCTCCATGCACCACCAGCTGACTCCAGCTATGATGGGCCAGAACTTCTTCGGGGTGACTATCAAGCAGGAGCCCATGTCGTTATCCTCCAGCTGCCCTCTGTCCTCTCCCAAACAGCTGAAGAGCTCTGCTGGCAGCTGCATGGAGGATATGGGACACTGCAACAACCCCCTCTCCAATATGGGCGGTCCCGGAGGGCCACAATGTATGGACACTTCCTCTGGCAGCCCCTCCACAATGTCTGCTTTCCTCAGTCCACAGTGCTCGCCACAAGACTCTCCCATTGGAAAACCTTCCTGTAGCCCCCAGCCAACGTCTCCCAATAACCCTTACTTGCTATCACTTCCGCTGGGAAGAGATGGCTGTGGTCACCCCCACCCTCAGGCCAATAACAGAGCATGCAACATGCAGGTAGGATGTGCTCAAATATCACTAATATGTTCCGTAAGTCAGACAAGTTACCTAAAATAAACAGGGGCTCTGTGTTGCTGTAGTTGGGTACAAGGTGTAGTGCTGATGCTCAAACTAAACCCATTTTGTTAATGTGTATTTACTAAGGCTGTCAAAGTTAACGCGTTAATGTATGAAATGAATGTGATAAAATACTTTAACGCAGTTAACTCAAGTTTGTGTTCGTCGAATCCCTCCACGTATCAATAAGAAGCGGGATGAGTGGCAAACGGACCACGTAAAGCTAGTTGCAAGGCTAAGCTAGCTCAATCACCAGTGTCCAAAATATCCACTTGCTGTGTATTTGAGTGATTAGTGAATTCAGAAGTAGTGAATTCACCCAGTGAATGAGATTTAGTCTTTAATCGCGATTAATCTAGATTAATGAATTTCAAAATGTGAGATTAATTAGTTTGTATCTATTGACAGCCCTAGTCTATACGGTATATCACAAACACTGCATTTTCCATAGTGACTTATCCTATTAACAATTACTTTAGGTGCTAAGAAGGCACATCTCTGGCGTCTGTTTCATAATCAAATATTATCTTCTCAGAATCTAATGGGACAAATTCATCCTTTCTCTCTAGAAGAAAGTCAGCCAATTCCATTTTTACAGTTAACTAATACCATCGCTATGAGCCTCCCCTGTACTCAGAGATATTTAGCAACGGTTAGCTAGCATGCTAGACCAATGCTAAAGTATTGGAGAAATTAAGATTTTGACTAGGAGATAGATATAGAGGGAAAGTAGTTTCTGAAGTATTCATCCTTTGAAAATATGAACGTTGGTACCAAATGTCCACTATGATGTAGCATTTGTGTATATTGTTTCCTAACATGGTACTTTTGTCTAAAGCAGCAGAAGAACGGTGGCCAGGCGGTGAACTGTTCTTATCCCCCTGACCAAAGAGGCCTCCAAGGCGTCTTTACCAACTCCAATGATAAGCCTGACAACCACAATATGCAACCAAAGGTCAAAACCATTTCACTATTGAGAGCATTTTCAATGTTGTCATTGTCTGTGTCATGTACTTCATCTGAATCACCTCACATTTACGTAACATTTTCTTTCATCTATCCGTTTGTGATCTGTCTCTAATGATTGTCTTTTGTTTTGAGGGACATTGTTCCTCTTGTCACATCTCCCACTCCCCCTGTTTTCATCACATACTATGTCACATTGGTGACTTTTCCTTAAAAGAACTCAACGCCAATCCTTTTCTTAAGATGAAATGTTTCGCTTTTTTAAAGTCTGATATACACCCACATTTGGTAAGCTTCCCTCTACTAATTGGTGGGCTAATGTCACTTTTCACTATGTCTCATATAGATGTCAGTAGTGCCCTCTCCTCGGCATGTTGGCCATAAGGGCCAGATCTCTCCCCCTGCCTTCAGTAGCTCAGATTCAGATGCATCAGACTTAAGACAGCCCCCACGCTATGAGGATGCAGTCAAGCAGGTAAACTGAAATTCATGTTAAAATTCACCAGATAATGGCTGGCCAGATTTTATTTGACCTATTGACGTCCCTCTAATTCCACTCTCCCTCCTGTCTCCTCTTTTTGTCTCTCCAGTCCATCCCCTGTATTGCACCTATTTTAATCATCCATTTGTTTTATTCACTGCACTAACTTTACCAAGTCTGAAGCAGATTGCTGTTTTAGTGGTACAAAGGTTTGATGGAGGCAGATGTAACTGCATAGGAACCTGACCAAATCATTTCTCACGGATCAGTCGTGCAGATGTAAAATCTGTTTCAAATCATTTAGAAACAGCGTCTCTAGAACATTGTTTATCAACCATAATACATTGATATATGATTGTAAAGAGTATTTGATGGGGACGGTACTTTTTATAGCCCTTTTCTACTTTTAGTGTCAATCCATTCATAAGGACTGGGGCTTCTATGCAAGGGGCAACCTATTCATTATCAGTGACTCACACACACACACTTTTCGCACAGCCATCAGAAGCAATGTGGGGTGCAGTATCTTGCCCAATGTCATTTTGTCTTGAACTCAACCTCTCTATCTCATGAGCCACAGCTACCCCACTAGCTTCATGGCTAACCTAGGAATGCTAACATTATGGTTCACCCAATTGTAGTTCTGGAAGATAGTTTTGGTTTTATATTAATGAGTTTTGAGACATGCGTCTGTAATACACCGGATGGAAATAGAATAGCGCTTTTAGAAAAGTATCTCTCTTGGCCTTAAGCTAGTCGAAGCTAGCTAAATATTGGTAGCACAAACTTGAAAAGTACTACCAAAATGTAATTCTGTAAGTCTTTGTAAACCGGTTAAAAACTTTAAAACAATGGGATTACACTTTTAAAATGTTAAAACATTGTTCACCTGAAAAAAAACCCACTTTCTTATAACTGTTACAGCAACTGACCAGAAGTCAACAGATGGACGAACTTTTGGACGTGCTCATAGAAAGTGGAGGTAAGATGAACTTCCACATAAAACGCACACACATAAAACAGTAGCTTAGCTGGATTGAACATGCACATGCAGGCTGGTGTTAAATCTCCATGTAAAGTGCCTTGGTTTGATATGACAGCGTTGACCCACACATCAATATGGGATCCCAGTGCCTGCTGTGACCCTCCCTCCTCTCCTCTTTCTCTTCAAGAGATGCCAGCTAACGCCAGAGAAGAGAGGGAGAGGGCCTCTGTAACCAAAGTTGTGCCTCACATTACTGTGTCCCCAGGGTGTCCCGGCCTCCTCATCCCTAGGTTCCACAGACACTACGAACACCTGTCCCCCACCCAGCTTCCCTACAACCACTCCAATCACATTACCGAGGGCCACTTGGAGAATCTGCTGGGAAGTCCAATTGGCCGGGGAAGCGAGGTGTCTCTTCTTAAAATGGCTGCCGAAGACAGGGGGCAGGAAGATGAGGGAAACAGAGATGGCGAAGGGTACGCCAGCCCCCACAACCACCTCCGCCAGCCTCACCATCTCCAACAAGACAAACCTCTGACCAACAGAGATCTGATGGACGGCCCACTGTCGGCCATCACTACCAAGGTGTCCGCCGTCTCCGAGGTGCAAGGCATGGTCAGCATGACTTTCAGCGAGACGCCGTGGGAGACAATGGAGTGGCTGGACCTGACACCGCCCAGCTTGTCCGCGGCCTTCAGTAGTGCTCCTCCCAGTGGGCCCAGCATCTTCAACACAGAGTTCCTGGATGTCACAGACATTAACTTAAACTCTGCCATGGACCTTCACCTGGAGCACTGGTAAAGCAACGGCAGTACTCCATGCTAGCCATCACCGCCACCAGAACAGCAGCTTACAAGTAGCTATACGGAGAGCTTTTATCAGCTATGAACGTGCCAAAGAAATATTGTCCAAGTGCCTCTTATTATATTATACAGTGGGATGTGACATTGAGTAGCCCATTAGCCTGCATTCACAATTATACAGTATATCGCCTTATTCCCTTCCCTTCAGAGAAATTAGGTTATGGTGTTGCCATCATACCTAGTGCAAAGTCTAGGTCTAGACTAGGCTTTTTGGACAAAGAAGCGCAAACTGCCAAAAAAAAGAGTATGAGTGTGCAGGGTTAAATAAAGGCTTCTCTAGGTAATGGATCCATCCATTGTTAAACCACTTGTCCTGCACACAGGGTCGCTGGAGTCTATCCCAGCCAACTTAATGCAATAGACAGGGTACCCCCTGGACTCGCCAGCCAATCGCAGGGCTACACAGAGACATACAACCATTCACATCCACACACCTACGGGCAATTTAGAGTTCCCAATCAACCTGATCCCCAGAGCATGTCTTTGGACTGTGGGAGGAAACCGGAGAACCCGGTGAGAACTCACACAGACACGGGGAGAACATGCAGACTCCACACAGAAAGGCCACTGGGCGGAGTGGAACCCAGGACCTTCTGGCTGTGAGGCGACAGTGCCAACCACCACGCCACCGTGCCGCCCCTTTAGGTAATGAGTGCTTTATTTCAACACATCAGCAATATCAGTCTTGGGACACCACGACCTGAAGACATATTTTGACAAAAAATTTCTGAGTCTATGTTTGTATTACTGGAAAACCAAAGGAATTACATGTTAAATAGTATTGCTTGGTACTGCCATTTTGTAAATATGTTAACTATCTGGACTGACAGACACAAGTCTGCTTATTCGTCAGTGGTGTTGGAGAAGACAGAAACCACATAGTATGTAATCAGTTCATCAAATGATGTGAAAGTGTCAACATTATCTCACTGTGCACCTCTCTCTGAAAACACATGTGTCACAGTTTGCTTGAGCTTACAAGATGTGTGTAGAAACGGTTGGCATTCCTTTGAAGGACCTTTTTAATTTCACTATTTGCCGTGTTTAACCACAGAATGACACTAGGAAAGGAAATGAATGTCTTTGAAAAACCTTTAGTCTTATTGGTTCAATTTGCAGAAGCTTTTTATTACAATTTTTAGAGCAGTTCTAACATTAAAGCCTACTGTACTTGCTATTCCCTGAAAGTTGTTGACCGATATTAATATAGAAGAATCCAACATAAGTCAACAACATCGGTTTTCAGACAAATGTTAAAGAATTGAAATGAAAAATTCTACTTCATCTCTATTTGTTCTTAATAAGCAGCTAGCAGTAGTTTTTTGTCCTTACAAATTCCACCCATTCTAATTACACACCAGTTATTTATTTTGTGTTTTTACATTTATATCTTGTATTTAAAGTGACATTCCTTTCTTATAGATTGGGGCTTTGATTTAACAAGAGAACTCCAAGGCTGCCATTTTGACCACAGGCATTTCTTAGTGTATCAATTATCTTAAAAATGTGATACAAAGTGAAGGAAATACTTCCAAAAGCCGTGCTTTATTAAATCCCTCTTCCTTCAAGAATGTGGCATCTCCATTATTAGCACTTGTGAATAGGAAAATGTAATATATTCAGATCCTTACTGTGAACACTGCACATTAACACAGCTTATACACACAGTGGTTACGTAAAGGAAAGAGCTGAGAAGTTTTTATCTTCTCAAAGAAAATAAACATACTTTCCAACCTTTGAACTTCTACATTTCCAACACACTCCTGTTGTGTGTGAACATGGCTTTCACTGTGTGCTCTGTTAGACCAAATCCTCTTTTGTGGTTACTTATAAAGTGTAGCGATTGTTAAAGGGTTTCTATGGTTACATGTATGCAATGAATGCCCATCGTGAATATATGACAAAGCTGATATTCTTCTCATTGTGTCTTTTGTTAAAAGAATATCTGCTGGCCTTTTTATCCGCGGGGGCTCATTTCATTATGTTCTTAATCAGGAAAAAAATAAATCACAGACAGAAGCTTCCATGTTGCTTAGCCACTGACTTGCTTTGTTATTGTAAAATAAAAACAGTATTTGCCTGCATACCTGTACACTACAGAAAGAAGAGCAATAAATTTCTCACAGCAAAATAATCATGAATTTCCTTTTTTATTCATATCCAATTCACAAGAAACAAACAATACTTGACTTAAATCATTTAACAACCTAACCTAATAGTTATTTACATGTTGTTTGGCATTGGCCTGCTAGTGTTAGCTACCGTACTTTAGCTTAGCAGCTAGCCTAGTGATGTCTTCCCTGGTCAGTGTACCTTTTGATTGTCTGTTTCACCGCTAAAATGAAAATAAGGAACCATAGTTTTCTTGTTTTTGGTTTGAATCCAAAAATGAGAAACACGCAGTTTGATTTTTCATTCATCCATGTCCACAGCAACACTCATTAATTGGTGCACTGTTGATGCAATTTAGTTAATATAATAGTTAATAATACAGTTCAATCATCTGATGAAGTGATTTGTGGTCGCACACTCGTAGCTGTTGGCTCTGACATTTATTTTCCAGAACTGAGCTGTCGCTTCGGTGAACAGTGCACAGATAGTTTAAGGCCTCAAACTCAAATCAGGTGCGGGCCAGATGCAGCCCACTTTGACCGGACGCGGGCCAGACCATTACGGTCGGCAGGGGGGGGGGACGCGGCGGCGCTGAATGGCGAACGGCACGGCCGATGGAGGGGTGCGCCAACGTCGGTACCCCCCGGCGGGCCGCACCGGGCCGGAGTTTGAGACACCAGTTCGCAGAGTGAACGTGTTCACATCTCTACCACTAGGTGGCGGTATACGGGTATTTAAACCACAGACTTAATGATATTTACTTGTGTCTTTCATGCTTATGTTTATTTTATTTAATATTCATGGTCAATTTAAAACCATAGTTGTATACATCATCTATGTTTGTATCATGGACAAGTGAACATGAACTGTTCAATAAATAATGACAGTTTAAGAATAGTTTCGTCCTTTAATTTTTGTCATCTGTCAGACTTCAATCCTAAATCAAAATGTTAGACCCAAGAGGTCAAAGGGCCACTATGAGAAGCAATAATGTTGATCAAATGTGGTCAAAAGAAAATGACTTGTTTGGCCTTCAGACAATTTGACTGCGATATTTTACATTTCGTTCCTAATCTCACAGGACGAGAGCAATAAAGAGATGAATTACTTATCTTTTCAATTAAATTCATTTTATTTTGTATAGCTCAAAATTGCAAATGTGCCTCAGAGGGCTTTACAGTGTGTGCACATGTGACATCCTCTGTCCCGAAACCCACCATCGGCACAGGAAACACTCCCTAAACAATGAAAACGTTCCATGGGGAAAACAGGGAAGAAACGTCAGAGGAGGATCCGTCTCCTGATGGACGACTACAATGATGTCATGAGGACACAATGAACAATGTATAATACATGAGACTATATGACAGGAATGATTATGAGTATTTATGAGTTGTAAGCAGGTGTACGGCAGGACCACTGCAGAGACCACCATCACATAGAACCACCATCACATAGAACCACCGTCACATAGAACCACCATCCTACCACCGCATAAAGACATAGAACCAACCACCATCAGATAGAACCACCATCACATAGAACCACCATCACATAGAACCAACATCACATAGAACCACCATCACATAGAACCACCATCGCATAGAACCACCATCGCATAGAACCACCATCAGATAGAACCACCATCACATAGAACCACCATCAGATAGAACCACCATCGCATAGAACCACCATCACATAGAAGCAACCACCATCAGATAGAACCACCATCACATAGAACCACCATCAGATAGAACCAACATCAGATAGAACCACCAGTACATAGAACCACCATCAGATAAAACCACCATCGCATAGAACCACCATCGCATAGAACCACCATCAGATAGAACCACCATCACATAGAACCACCATCAGATAGAACCACCATCCACAGAAGCCTGTGGGAAGGGAGAGCACAAAGTCTTTAGGAGAGGGTGATGTTCCTGATTTTCGATATGTTACGTAGATGGAAATAGGCAGTCCTTGAAGTCTTGTGCTGGACGGTGCTGCTGGGTACCAGAGACATCCCATCCATAAAAGGTGTATCACGTGACAGCTGGCTTCGAGGGACAATTCAAGTCCCTCATGTGTTGTTAAAAACGGGACAAGCAGTAAAGGGGTCGATGAGCGCTGAGACCCACAGGACACAGCTGCTCTGTGTCCCAAGTGTCCCTGAGCAGGACACCAAACTCAGCAACAATGTAAAAAAAAAAGTCCTGGGTTAAAAATGCAACGTAAGTCGCTCTGTATAGAAGCTAAAATGACCTGTAATGTAAAGGATAAAGGGTTAAAGATGGAACAAAAAGAGCCACAAAGGAGATGTGCTAATGTATTCATGAAATATGATCTGGTTTCCATTGAAGCTGACTGTGAGCCTCCTGTGAGGACAGAAACTGAGAGACGTTCAAGTCAGGGACGAAACCCCCACTTGTACTAATCATATTTTTGACACGTTTGCAGCAAGTCGTTCACGCGTCATCAACGAGCTGCGCTTCCGTCCGGCTCGCGGTGAGACAACGAAAAGCCGCCAGGCGGCGCGAAGCCAGCGCGGTCACGTGGGATCGGCCGCTGCCACGGCAACCGCAAACCGACGGTCCCGCCCGAACGATCACCGCCGTCACCGGGACCGACCAGAGGACATGTCGGACGTCGGGTCCGAGGAGTTTGACGATGCGCGCAGTAAACTCGGGGTGAGCGAAAATCCTCCGCGCGAAGCCAACGGGCTGGTCGCGTCTCCTCGCCCGTGTCTCCCTCTGTCTCCTCGCCCGTGTCTCCCTCTGTCTCCTCACCCGTGTCTCCCTCTGTCTCCTCACCCGTGTCTCCCTCTGTCTCCTCCCCCGTGGTGGGCTTCGCCGGCAGGAGTACGCCGGGGGGCGGAATGAAGCGGGGGAGAGGCACGGGGCCGGCCGGGCTGCGCTCCCCAACGGGGACGTCTACCACGGAGGGTACGCGGGCGGCTCGAGGCACGGACAGGTAACGCAGGTGGGCTGCGGAGGGGTCTTCACCCCCACCGCGCGCCCACAGCTCCACACACACAGTACAATGATGTGAATATACTCTTATAGGTATTTGTGTTACAAAGAACGGTCTATTTGACTTCTCTGTTTGTCTTATCTTTGACTGTTTTGTCCAACAGGGGACATATCGCTTCAAGAACGGGGCAAGATATGTGGGGGACTATCACCAGAACAAGAAACATGGACAGGGCGCCTTCTACTACCCAGATGGCTCTAAATATGAAGGTACAAGACCCTCTTTGTCAGTCGTGTGTGAGGAGGCAACATCCGTGTCCCAGTGGAGACTTTAGAGACCCCGAGCCTCAGAAACAAACCCCCGGTTGTCTGTTAGGCTCCTGGGTTGAGGACCTGAGACGGGGCCATGGCGTCTACACTTACCCCAACGGAGACACGTACGATGGAGAGTGGCTCCATCATGTCAGGTACACTCTAAACATTGCCAGTGTCGGCGTGATGCTGGTCGGGTTCTGATCAGGAACCGCAGGCTTCATTGGACCTGTGATGCAGAGATGATTTATCTTGGGAAATGACTGCAGTAGAAAATATCCATTTATTTAGCTAATTTGTAGGTCAAACAACATCCACGATGAGGACGTTGTTCAGGTTGCACATTTTTAACAGCATTAAACACTACACATCAGAATCTTTGTATAGATGCATCACTGCCGACAGCTGAAACAAGAACCTTTTTTGTTCAAACTTCTTGGTCGGCGTCTTTTGACGTGTGCATCACGTGTCCCGTGCCATGAGGTAAGGAGAATGACGTGCTTGGGGGTTTGTGGTTTCCCAGGCATGGACCGGGCACTTACCATTACAGTGACACCGGCGCCGTGTACCGGGGCTGCTGGGTGAATGACCAGATGGAGTCAGCTGGAGGATACGTCTACTCCAACCACCGGTACGAGGGCAACTTTGTCAACAATGCCGTAAGTGCTGCTTTGACTGCTTTCACAGAATCCCTGCCTAGATTCATCAGTTACACGCGTCTTCCCCTGCAGCCCGAGGCTAGAATAGTCTAGATGGGTTAATTCATGATAACATACTTCTGTCAGAGAAGTAGTAGTGTAGATAGTTTAATGTAACAAACAGGTAGTTATATCATTTCAGCTTTCAAGTAGTAAAATCTCCAATAATTTGTCCATCGCTCTAAATTCAGTTCCTGTAGGTTCCCTCTGCCACGTTACAACAAAGCTGCAATCGTTGCTCATAGAAGTTTTCTACCACATTTGATTGACGTTAGTTGCTGCGGCCATTAGTGCAATCAATGAAAACATTACGATTGCTAAGAAAGGAAATGATCAGTCTGACGATCAGACCAGTTATGAACAGACAGCTAGTCGTTTTATCTGCTATCGTCACGGTTTACGGGTAATAAATATGATCCATCTCAGCGTGACTCATATAATCTTAAGCTGAGAGGAAGCTGCTCTGTTGTTTTCAACCTGTCGGCCGTCATCCCACAAGTGCTGCCTCATCACTGCCGACGGTGGCTGCAGCCATTTAAAGGAAATCAAAGTTTTGAGAAGAATATATTTTGAATCCCTTGTGTTCTGGTCGGTGAATCCCTTCGTACCTCGCAGCCTGGCGGCCCGGGGAAGTACGTGTTCGACACTGGGTGTGAGCAGCATGGTGAATACCGTCAGGCAGAGCAGGTAATTCACCCACGCGTCGGCATCAGGGCTCCACGAGCAGGAGCCTCAAGGCCTCCGGCAACAATGTGGTTTCATCTACATGTACTGTTGAATTTGCCATAATAAGGACTTTATAAGATAGATAATCCTTTATTATTAAAATCACAGGATTACAGCAGCAAAGGTTAAAGTGCAAACAGATGTAGTACAAGAAAACAAGATCAGGAACTTTCTTGTTTCTTGTTTTCCTGAGTTTGTACCCTGTGGTTGAATGCACTTATTGTACGTCGCTTTGGATAAAAGCGTCAGCTAAATGACATGTGATGTAATGTAACTATGAAGCGGTAAATAAGCAGCACTGATAACACGGAGAGCGCCCTCGCTCACACACGCCTGACGTGGTTGAGCAGGTCGAGATTCACGCTGCCCCGGTCATTCCTGCAGGGGCGAGCAGAGGAGGAGGTGGGCGCGTTGGCGTCCCCCGCAGCCCTCAGGTGGATTCCCGCGCGCGTCACGGGGCCGACGCCGCGGCCCCCAGGTAAACACACCTCAGCAACAGACCTACGTTACATACACATCCCTGGGGCATAGAGCCAACTCTGTGGCTGTTTGTGTGACTAGTTTGAGTTCTATATGGAAACAAGGCAGGAAATGAAGAGTGAGGTGTGTATAAAGATACGGGACCAAAATCTGCACGCGTGTTGGTGAGTTTGTCTGTTTTCTTTGATCAGGTGCGGAAAAGCAAAGCAATTCATCTGAGGGAGCGGAGAGCCGACCTGTGAGATGAATCTATCAACCTGTGAAACAGCATTAAACATCTTCCCTTGCCAATGAGCATCATGTGTAAATGTCATTCAACACCACAATGTTCTTGTTGGAGAAGGGAAAGTTCCGGCGCTGCACCTGTTATTTAATCCTAATAATCTGACCAGAAATGAGAGGCGCCATCACATGTTTAACGTTACAGTAGCTGCACGGCCAGCCTGAGGTTCTCAGTGTGAGTGACCAAGCAGCCTATTAGTTAAAGTCACTTCCATCTGTATTTCAACAAGTGACACCAGGCAGAATATCATGAGCATGTTGGTAAAGAATAGCTCTGGATTTCGGAGAAACTTCCTTAAACAGGAAGAAACCTGGAACAGCATCAGTGAAAGAGCACATGTGCTCATAAATCAGATGATTCTTCTCTGAGGTGGAATCTAGCTTGGTGATGGTCAGATGAACGATATCAAACGGAGCTGATGAAAGGAAAGATGTGCTGAAAATATCGTATGTGCTCAGAGGAATATGAGGCTTCATCGTTAGGAAGGAAATCTGTCCTTTAGTACTGTGGGAAAAGAGAAGACGCATTTGGAGCTTTCATTTGTTGCACACAACGTTTCAAGATTATCATTGTCTTCATTATTTAATAGGTGTATCTATTTAAAACCATTGCCTTTTCAATGTTAAACTACATGTATGCACAACACTCAATGTTTCTTTATATAACTTAATTTATATAAGTTAGCCAAGCACAGTATCTTGGTATTATCAAACCTTTTAGTAATAGACAGCAAACAGTCTAGTCCAGTCTAGTAAACCACTAGTAGTTTAGGAAATGATGCTGACGGCTGTTTGAATGAAACCAGGAGGCAAACTGTGTGGTCTTTCTAGCAGCTTTATTTTGAAGGGCCCAGGCGGAAGCCCGCGTCTCTCACCGCGCGCACAGCGACGCGCTAAACGGCCCGAAGCGACGTCATCATGTGTGGAAGTTAACTAACGTTCCGCATACCGACGATATGGACGAACCGCCGCTGTTCACCTTCGGAGTGATAGCCGACATCCAGTACGCGGACATCGACGACGGCTACAACTTCACCCGGACGAGGCGGCGCTACTACCGGGGCAGCCTGCGCCTGCTGACCAACGCCCGCAGAAGTTGGTCGGAGTCGGGCGTCAAACCAGAGTTTATCCTCCAGCTGGGAGACATCATCGACGGCTTCAACAAGGGCCGCGACTCCTCCGACCGCGCGCTGGACGCCGTGCTGACGGAGTTCGGCTGCGGGCTGCCGGAGGTCCACCATGTGTGGGGCAACCACGAGCTGTACAACTTCAGCAGGGCCGCGCTGCTGCGCTCCAGGCTCAACGGCACCGCCCGCCCGAGCGGGGCCCCGGCCGACGACGGCACCGCCCGCCCGAGCGGGGCCCCGGCCGACAGCCAGCTGTGCGCCTACCACTTCAGCCCGTTCCCCGGGTTTCGGTTCGTCGTGCTGGATGCGTACGACGTGAGCCTGCTGGGCAGAGAGACGTCCAGCGACCAGTACAGCGACGCCATGGCCGTGATAAAACAGCACAACAACAACGAGGACCTCAACTGCCCGCCCGGTACGACGCGCTGCCTCCAGCGCGGCTTCTTCTGCTCCGTTCCAGTGAAAGACGGACCCAGTGACCTCACATCCCTTTTCAAAATAAAAGTCCTATTTATTTACAAAGGCTCTTATTCCGGAAAGCCGGTAGACTTAATTTCCCTTTGTAGTTGTGAATGAAATGCCATCCTTGCTCTCCTACTCTACTAAGTAAAGCATGTATTTCATTCTTCAGTCAGCCCCTGAGCAGCTCTACTGGACAACGATGATGTCAAGTGCCTTGCTCATGGGCTCACTGACATTTGACAGTAGTTGCAGAGAGGAGGCCCCATCACCACCACCATGCTTCATGTTTCAGGCACAGCAGATCCAGATGTTGACGTGTCGTGTCTTTGTTTCAGTGTTTGTCGGGCAGCTGCAGAGGTTCACCATGTTCAACGGGGGGTTCGGTAAGCAGCAGCTGGACTGGCTGGATTCTGTTCTGTCCACGGCCGATGACAAACAGGAAAGAGTCACAATAGTCAGTAAGTAAAACAGGACTTTTGATTCCTTGCATGTTACAAGTGGACCCCGCCCACACCTTGCATTGAGCTGTCATGTTCTAGAACCTGTGGAGGTCTGTGTTTAGCCTGAAGCGCTCTCTGCTCAGAACCCTCTAAATCAGGGGTGTCAAACTCGATTGCACAGGGGGCCAAAATTCAAAACACACTTCAGGCCGCGGGCCGAACAGAATAAACATTTATTGAACACACTAAAACTAAATGTTTCTTTTAATATAAATACAAACCGACAGGAATGTTATTCTGGAATAAATAAACTTAAACTTTAAATAACTTAAAATATCTTGCTCTCCATAAAAATATATCCAGTCAAAATTATACAAGTTAGAAATATGAACATGCTGCAAAAAAACGCCTGAAAAAATAAATACAAATTGTGACAGCTTGTGCTTTAAGTAAATATTAAAATAACAAATCAAAACATTTCAGCTTCTTTGCTTTTGTCATTTTATATTAAAAAAAACCTTAGATTTTAAACATCCCAAATGATTTTACTCTCCATAAAAATATCTCCTGTCAAAATTATACAAGTTAGAAATATGAACATGCTGCAAAACCTGGAAATTTAAATAAAATTTGTGCTTTTCAGCAATAACAAATAACGATGCAAAACATTCCGTTTTTTTTGCTCTTATGCCATTTTATCAGAGCTGGATGCTTTGCATCTCTTTTTGGCAACAAGTTGGTTTATGTTTGGCGCGAGGTCCCGTGTTGTGGAGACTCTCAGGATGGACTGAAGGTTCATCAGTGAGACGACTCCTGTGTGCTGTTTTGTTTGTCTTCTCACGCAGATATGTGCTACCAAACATGCACACGGTTCGAGCCGCATGTAGACGGAGCTGGGACATTGCTGCGGGACCGGAGTGAATAAACAGTGTCGTACTTTGTCTTTAGTGTCCCATCACACTGCAGATCAATCAGCTCCATCTGGATCTGCACAGGTGCAGTTTCCACGTCGACGGCAAATGGGTTGCGAAACGACTCAAAATTATTTTTTTGTTCCTCAAAATCACCAAAGCGCCGTGCGAACTCCGCGCGCAGTGCGCTCAGTTTATCCGCAACGTGCGTATTTGGGAACACCGTTGTGCCGCATTACTTGGCAACAGGGAAAGTGGGGCGAGTTGCACTGGTGCATTTGTGTCTCCCATAAAATCAGCTTCACTGCGTCATACATGTCAGTGGTCATGCGGTCACGTCCCTGGAGCTGGAGGTTTAAGGCGTTGAGATGTGCGGTTATGTCAGCCAGAAACGCCACGGACAGCGCTCGGCAAGGCAGCTGAAGCGCTGCATTATGGGATCTGTAGTTTATTGTGTTATCAGTGCTTCATATCGTCGGGCCATTAGTAACAATAACATAAAATGATCTCGCGGGCCGGATATAATTGCATGCCGGGCCGGATATGGCCCGCGGGCCTTGAGTTTGACACATATGCTCTAAATCTACCTGATGATCTTCTATCTCCACATTATTCACAGTGTACAGCATATCATTTGTATTTATGAATTATTGACAGAGGGAAGTGTTAAACAGCTGTTTGAAGCGCTCTCTCACAGCGAGTTAGAAAAGTGGCCGTGCCATCTACGTGCCTCCTCAGTCATCTGCAAGCCCCACGCCTGTGAGTACTTTCTACCACCGGTGATGCTGTAAAGCAGTGGTTCTCAACTGGTCTGGCTCCAGGACCCACCATCACCCTTTAATGACAAGCCGCGACCCAAATACTACCTGAGATAGAATACGTATGCCAACACAAAAACAAGTTTAATGAAAAAACAAAACAGCCAGCAGGTAGCGATGCTAGAGAGGGAACTATTCCCTTTTACAGTCAATGAGCTAAAAAACCCAAAGTGTACCGTAAGGACACGAGGTATTACAACATGCATAACAATTAAGAATCTTCAGCCATTTCAAACAAACTCAACAGCTTTCATGCACAAACAAAAAAGTTGAAAAAAGACTCAAATGACGTAACTTTAACAGATCTATGACAAACAATGTCTTGAGGAGCAGCTTTTGCACAAATTCAAAATAAATGAAATAAACCTGGCACACGCTGCTCAAAACATGGACGGACGAGCCGGCAAAAAAACGCCACTCCGCTGCATTAAAAAAAAGTCCCTCCAAAATAAAATCACAGGATGAATTATTATTATTATTATTTTTTTAATTCTAATTCTAATTTTTATTTTCCCAGGCAACCCATTAAAAACGGGTCCGCAACCCACCAGTTGAGATTCACTGCTGTAAAGGGCTTTTTCTGACAAAGTAGCACAGCTACTGAATAAAGGAATGTATCGTTTTAATCTTTGAGAGATTTGGAGCAGCTAGCCTGACTGATCAATGGTAACAACGTGGGTACGTAGTTCGACTCATTTCATTAAGAAAATGTGTTCTCAGTTTGATTCATCAACATGTATCACTCATATGAACACCACTCATCATCATCAACATGTATCACTCATATGAACACCACTCATCATCATCATAGACATGTATGACTCATATGAACACCACTCATCATCATGGACATGTATCACTCATATGAACACCACTCATCATCATCAACATGTATCACTCATATGAACACCACTCATCATCATCATAGACATGTATGACTCATATGAACACCACTCATCATCATGGACATGTATCACTCATATGAACACCACTCATCATCATCAACATGTATCACTCATATGAACACCACTCATCATCATCAACATGTATCACTCATATGAACACCACTCATCATCATGGACATGTATCACTCATATGAACACCACTCATCATCATGGACATGTATCACTCATATGAACACCACTCATCATCATCAACATGTATCACTCATATGAACACCACTCATCATCATTACAGACATGTATCACTCATATGAACACCACTCATCATCATAGACATGTATCACTCATATGAACACCACTCATCATCATTAACATGTATCACTCATGTTGGGTTGACGCTTTTCTACCAACATAAGTACGAATGGAATTCATAGCACATGTTTTGATATTATTATACATTCCAACATGGCTCAGGTCTTCAGTGGCACGGTCCTATTCCTGCCAGGAGAATATATTTAAGATCAGCTTGAAGACACCGTAACTCTGTTAACTTGTGACTGTCATTTCTCCACGCCCTTTGTGTTTTCCCGCTCAGGTCACCTCCCCGTCCACCCCTGGTCCACAGCTGACATCTGCCTCGCCTGGAACTTCGATGAGCTCCTGGCCATCATACGGTGCCACGGCAGCGTGGTGTGTTTCATGGCTGGACACGACCACGATGGTGGATACTACCAGGACGAAGGCACAGGAGTGCACCATGTGACGTTCCCGGGGGTGATTGAGACTCCACCTGACAGCGACGCTTTTGGTACAGTGTCTGTGTACAAAGACCAGATGGTGCTGAAGGGGTACGGCAGGGTCACCGACCGAGTGCTTCACTTTCCATCCTCTTCCAAGAGGCACGCATCGTAGGGCAATATGAGACATCCCGTCATTTATATTCATACGATTCTGGAGCGGTTGACCCGCATGGCTCATTTAGACAATGTTTGTTCCATTCTCTGGAGAAGTGTGGGAATTTTACACTTGTCACTTTGAAGTTCTTCTCAGAGAAAGGAAATCCTCAAATCGACTGACTTTAATAGTGAAAGTACTACACCTTCAGTGAAAAGTAGGGCACAGGGGGGAATCCTTTTGAATGTAATGACTTTGATACCTATTTAAAAACACAGAGCGGCAGTGGGAGCGGTCCACTTCCTCTGCAAGGCACATGCAGTATCTCGAATACTTTATTGCACTTGTATTAGTGTGAAGTATACTTGACACTGGTTGTATTTTAATTTGAAGTTTAAATTATATCACAAAAGATTTGTACTGCAGTTTACATGTTACTTAACTGCAAATACATGAACTTATTTTCTGTCACTGTTAATTGCGAAAGCATGAATTGCACATTTTAGTGAGATTTGATTGGTGCACTGTATTGTAAAATATACTTTATATAAATATATAAGTCCAAGTTCTGCACAAGATCAGAGCCAAGCTGCATAAATCACAATGTAAAACTATTTAACAAATAATACAAATATTCTATCAGTAGTTCTGTGCCTGTCCAAATGTCCCTGTCACGTCTCTGGTACTTTGTGATCTTTGCTTGGTGTTTTATCATTCATTCATATCACCATCATCACTTCATTTTCATACGCGAATGACAGGAGGTCTTTTCCTTTTGTCTTTATTTTACGCAGCAAAACGTCAACTTAATATACAATTGATCAATTCTGTCACACCGTAGATAAACGATATGCTCTCGTGCCTCATGCAGCTCTTGTGTTTCATGACGTCAATACATGGAGACACAAGTAGCGTCGATCCAACATGAGTGTTTTCAATATATGTTACATATCTCTAGTTCCTGCACAATGAGCGTAAATTAAATGATTAATATTCCCCAAATTCCAATGAAGTAATACATACCCATAAGACTGTATGTACACTGTAAACTGTTAACAGTTCATATATTGTCTATAATTTGTAGTAAAAAAAGTATTGGTTCAGGCACTGTTTAAAAGTATTGTTTTAGCACTGGTATCAGGAAAAAGACAAACAATACTAGTGGATCATTGTAAACATAAAAACATTGAATGTAGGGGAACGCTGTGTAAGCTTTGGTATCCTCATTCTTAGTTTAAATACTACATTTTCTCACTTTTTCATGTATATATGAGATTTCACAAAATGTTTGGTCATGGAAATCCATTGGTCAAAATGTGAATGCACCCAGGAATTAATTACAAATGGCAATTTTGCATCTCAAAATGTTGACCAGCAGATGGACTTACATTGAATATAAGTAATGGACAGGTTTATGTGCCTTTCTCTAGTATCTAGCAATCTCCATGACGACTGAGCAACTACATCCCCTGACCAACTTTGAGATGTGATGAAAAGATGTGATTCAACTAGTAAGACGCCCGTCGAGCTATTGTTGACTACTTATTCAAAGGTGAAAGGTATTTAAATCTAAGAACGCACTTTGACAAATTGACAGACTGCAACTGTTTGATTGTGAAAATAAACTGTAAAAGCACTGATATGCTCAGCGATGAAAGACGTGCTTTGTGAATCTGGAGGAACAACGTGACGCTGTTTGGTTTGATCACACATTAAAGTCAACATGTAGGATTATATAGCAATATGTCAAATATTGAGAAGAGAAGTGTATCTCAGACGGTTGATGAGCGCAGCGCACAGACCACGTGGTCTCGTCACGGCAGCAGATCTGTCCCTCTGTCCCTCAAGTCGTCTCGCATTCACAAACATCTTCAAAATGGAGAGATTAGAACCTCACAGCCACGTATGAAGAAATCCCTTTGAGAAGATAGATTAAAGGAAAGCGCGGAACGACCTGGATCTCATCTCTTTGGAGTAAAACATGCCGGCATTAAGCAGAGAAGAAGTCAACGTCCTTTGCTGTGCATCGAGTTGGACTCCATCAGCGTGGAGGAGACGTTCTGGTGTAGGCTGATCTGGGACGACTGGTCACCAGGGCGCCGTTCCTCGCGCTGGATAACGTTACATCAGTCAGGCTTTTCGGTTCCACAAAGCAAGTTTGGCCAAATCACCACAGCAACACATCCAAAACCTTGAACCTGCTCCTCATCCGCTGAACACAGCACTCGATCTGCTCCTCATTGATGAAGGAGCGATCTCCGTTAGATTAACGTGTTCCTCCGGATCACAAAGACCCGTCATGACATCACTTCCTGTACGAGCGCCATCAACGCTGAAGACGGATCATCTATTTACAAGAAGACCTTCTGGAGTCGTTACATCAACACCACACGCTGCAGCTGAGCGTCCACTGTCCCACACACTGTCCAACAGACTGTCCCACACACTGTCTCACACACACACTGTCTCACACACTGTCTCACACACTGTCCCAACGACTGTCCCACACACTGTCTCACACACTGTCCCACAGACTGTCCCACACACTGTCTCACACACTGTCTCACACACTGTCCCACACACTGTCTCATACTGTCCCACAGACTGTCCCACAGACTGTCCCACACACTGTCTCACAGACTGTCTCACAGACTGTCCCACACACTGTCTCACACACTGTCTCACAGACTGTCTCACACACTGTCCCACAGACTGTCCCACACACTGTCTCACAGACTGTCCCACACACTGTCTCACACACTGTCTCACACACTGTCTCACAGACTGTCTCACAGACTGTCTCACTGTGACTGTGTTGTGATGCAGAGAACATCAGGAAAGCCGCTGCATGTCGTGCTCTTCGTTCACTTTATTTTTAGTTTAGTCTAAGTTTGTTAAAGAACTTCTGGATGTTCCGTGTTTCACTGCTCCAATATATTGAGTTTCTGATGAATGAATAATACAAGGATACATACTGATCCGCCCAAACACAGATTTGCACACACATATTCAAACTCCTACTTGTACTTGGTAATCCAAACGTACAGGTATGTACACATATAATAGAAAATAATGGCCTATGTCATTTTTTCAGAAAGCACAAAAAACTCGTTGATTGTGTGATATTTAATAATAATCTCACTCAAAGTGCATGAATATAGATGGTAATTAATAATAATATCTCTTCATTAAGCAACATAAGTGGAATAAGTGACGTAGGCAAATTTTAAACTTTCCACTCTGCAACAATAAAGCATAATAAAGTCACCGACTAAGCAAAGTGCTTAGGAAGCATTGGCATCTCCTCACTTCTCTCTCCTGCTCCTCTTTCTCTTTAAGTTCTTATTCATGCAGCAAGTTATCAAAGAAGTGATGACACTCAGCAGGCATGACGTGTTTCACTGACTGGAGGTCCTGGGACTCCCTCTCCTTCATTAGCAGAGGCCATGGGAACGTTCTTGTCCATGCTATCTGCTCATTACGCACCTGCACCCTCTGTAGCAGTTCTCCAAAGAGGACAGCTTGAAATGGACCTGGCCTTCACTGCTAAACTCAAGAGCCCGCAAGTCAGTTCTCCAGCCATTTTGTCTGGTCTGATGCTACTGAAGTAAGATTCATTCCGTTTGCGCCTTCACATGGTGAGGTGATGGCCTGATTCTTGCCGTTTGGAGTATTATGGCGTAGTCTCTCGGGTTGAAGATATCTGTAACTGGGGGTCTAGATCACATCATCATCCTCAAGACAAGGCAAGTTTATTTGTATAGCGCTTTTCATACACAAGGCAGACTCAAAGTGCCTCACATCATAACATTTCATACAATAACGTGAAATAAAATGCAGGAATTAAAAGACAATTAAAAACAGCAAATAAAATTATAAATTTAAAATCTTATTTAAATTGTTTAATTAAAGGCAGAGGTCAAAAGTGCAATGTAGGTAACATGTAGCAGAAGGCGAAGCTGAAGATAAAAGTTTTCAGTCTTGTTTTAAACGTGGTCAGGGTTGGGGACAGTCTTAAATCTTCAGGAAGTTTATTCCAGCTGTTTGTTGCGTAGTAACTAAATGATGCTTTCCCATGATTTGTATTTACTCTGGGAATCACCAACAGATGGTGTCAGAAGATCTTAGTGATCTTGAAGGCATCAGATATGTCCTCTTCATGGTGTGGATGTGTCTGCTTGGTATCTTCATCAACATCAACAGGAGTGTTAATGGTTTTATCTGCTCCAGGTGTTTTGATTGATCACTGAAATACAGATATAAAATACAATATTAATCACTGATGATGTCACCTATTCAACTAATTAATCATTGTATTGTAATACACCAGCCCTGAAATAAATGGTTACCTCAATAACTTGTGTTTCCTCCATCCATCATCCAGTAATATAGTCCGGGTTCTCATTAAAGGGGCCGGCAGTGATTAATTGTTGAGAACAAATCCTTTGGCTCTGCACAAACGCCAAACAAGCTCTTCCTGGAATGGAATCAACGTATCAATAAGTTATCGTTGATGTATTCCATAGGAGAACATTACTCCACACCGGGGTAAAATCAATAAAAGGACATTTGTTAAATAGTTGTTGAAAGTTGGAGCAGAGGTGAAACACATACACTAAAGATGAAAGGTGATTTTAAATGACATTAAAGTTCATCGTTTTATGAATAAATACTGTCTGATTTCACGTGTTTTGTTCCCCATCTTTAAACCTCGACCTTTTAAATGTACACATGTTATTATGACAGTCTGAACACACGTGTGCCGTCCTTTTTCTTTGCCTTTTGCGTTCACTGGTTACCTGGTTTTACGCGTCACGTTGCAATGACTTGTGGGTAGGAAAGACTCGGCGGGTTGATAATGTGAGCGGCCTAAAGCCTTGCGCAGTTAGCGCTGTGTGTAGATGACGCATGCTCTGGTTTAATGTCGAACGCTCTTCTTTTGCTGCGTGTTGGTTTTGTGTATACGTTGTGTCCGTGTGTCTATAAATGTGAATTTGATTTCATTTTGAGATTTTTAATGTTTTTTTTTACTTCAGGCTGCCTCAAAAACATGGAAATGAGCCTCTCTGGCTCACTACAGTGCAACTGTTGATTAGTTTGCATTGACCCTGCAAAGTAAATAAATAAATAAATAGACGCCAGGCTGGACGACGTGTGTAACCAAGGAAGGACTTCACACTAGACACTATGTGTGACCGAGACTTTTAGTGGGAATCATTTCATAGCTAACTGGTTTCAGTCTGTTGGAGAGGCACTAAGTGGTCACGTTACTCTTCCTGTAGCCAGAACCAATGCACTTAAGAAAACATCATGCACACAGCTGTTGCATACTGGAATGTGCTGCCCTCATATTTCACTCTGACAAGAAACAAATGTGATTCCAACAGGAAACTTAAGGCAGCAATAATCAGAAAGGAAATTAGAGTAGGTTAGGTTATTATTGTTTTTAATTCTGTGTTTTTTCTTTTTGTTTGTTATTCCTTACTGTAAATGTTGTTCTCTAAGTCTGTGTTTTTGTTCACCAACATTGGTCGTGCTGTAATTTAACACGCTTAGATTGCAGCTTGCCTGAGGCGGGACTCGAACCACAGATCTTCACAAACCTGCTTTTACACACAACATCCTTCTTCTCTGTTCCAATTGTTCCAATTCCCAGGAGCCAATGAGAGGCCTCGGAGCTTGTTCCAATTCTCGGCCGACTTATCAGAGGATCCACGGTTTGCGCGTCCAATCAGATGCTCAAGTTGTTCCAATTTGGACTTTTCGATCCGCCATGTTGGATCACCGCTGGACTGCCGTCTCATTCTAACAATACTCGGCAGACGTAAGTACAACATGTCAACTATGTTGTCTTTTAGTACTACGGCGCATGTTAATGGGTGTTTATTATGAGTGCAAGCAGGGATACTAATACTATTTAAATGTGAGTGAATGGAAATGAGTTCGCCCACAACAAACCTGTTGCCGATCGATGCCAGCGGCGGCCGTGACGTCACACGCGTAACTTTAGCCACGAGTTATGGTTATTATTACTAACTGTATTTAATACGCTGAATGGAACGCGTGTGGGAGCTAACGGTCACGTGTCTCCGTGTTTCTGCGGACGTTTGCGTGGTTTATTGGTGACGGAGCTTACGTGACTTTATAGCATCGGTGATGCGTCACGTGTTGACAACACCAGTTATTACCAAGTCATAACGTTACTTTATTACAACGAACAGCAGCGTGTTTTATTCATGTGTCATTCAACAGTCCAGTAGAATTGTGTCATTTGTCATTTATGTGGAATAACAAGCATAAAAAACGTCTCCGAGGGCGGTGGCACCACCAGCGCCGCCCTGGTCCTGAGCCGGTGGAAGGTGCAGTTGGGTCGCTACCAGGGCAGAACCTTCCACTGGCTCCTGGAGAAAAACGATTCGGACCGCTTTTAAATATTACTTGATTTATGCAAGGTCATTTCACTGATTTGAACGTGTTATTGAATTAGCTTTTTTAATTAAGCTTAACACATTCTTCCATGGTTTACGAAAAGCTCATTTCCGTCATTTATAGGTTACATGAAAAACACGTGTACATTTTAAACCCACATTCAACTTCCACATCTGCGCATGTGCGACCACAAACCGCCCCTGGAGGACGCGGATTTGCTCTATCTCCTGGCTGTCTGCGTATCCAAGGCTCTACGTTTTCAGTAAGTAAACGTTTTAAATTCATAATACATATTTTCACTTTAACAGGATTTAGTTGCCACCAAGAAAAGTAGTTGGCTGTCTGCTGTCTCAATAAAATGTTAACTGAGGCTTATAGCTGCTAACGTTAGCTTAATGTTGCCTACACCATTAAGGCTAGGTTAACATTAGTAGACTCATTTAAGTGAAAATAATTATCTAACTAGTGTTGATGCTATCAATATAAATGCGTGATGCATCAGATGCTTTTCTTGTTTGACTTTCTCGTGAGTTTGTGGCCACGAACATTCGAACCTAACCAATGTAAAGTGACTAGCTAACGCTAGCTGTTAGCTAACGTTAATAGCTTGTAGCCTGACCTTCCCGGGTTTCTCGGCATGTAGAAAGGTTTAACGTTACGGACCCACTTTAAGTGTATTTTTTAACTTAAACTTATCAGTGCGGTAATAAAAGGGGGAAAGAGAACTAAAGTCAATCCCATTGAAAAATGTGCGTTTGCTGCTCTCTGGCGCCAAATGGGTTCATGTTAACAGCCATTACGTGAGTCCCGCGCGGCTCTGCTCAACTCTTTACTGCGGTATCTTTTCCCTTTGCGGTGCCTTTTCTCGGTTATACACTAATGAGCTAGCGTTAGCTTAAACATGTAGGTAACCGTTAGCTCTGAGAGCACGGAGGAAATGCGCTTCAATGCGGGGAAGTGTAAGCTGCAGCTGCTCTGTAGGCAACAGAGACCACACCTCATGACCACATGTTGGCTAAAAACTAAATGGATAAGATAATATTGGTTTGCCTGCCGTGCCAAAATTCAGTAATGATAAATGAACAATACTTATTTTTCATAAAATAAATGTACCAATCCTGAATTGTATTTTTTTTGCAGTTTTTTCTATCTGATGTTGGTGTGATGTGGAACTTAGTGTGTAACTGCTGTAACCTAAATATTGACAATACATTTGAAAGAAAAATATATCCCACCTAGTGATTGATTATTCTTATAGCTCTGTTTTTGGTCACTACCAAGAAAAATGTCTGGCTCTTAAGTTCCTGCATATTTTTTTTCACCAGCTTGTCAGCTCTTTGATTGTCTGAAGGAAAGCCTACTCTTGCAATTACCCACGATTAATAGGAATGTGTCTGGCTAGAACACACTGTGGACCAACCAGTACACATGCTATCAAAGACAGTCTTTGTTAACGAGGAGTTCAAAACTAGAATTTATTAGCAACAAAATATTGCACTGATACTCTTTGTATTTTATCTTTTTGTTTTTTGATAAGATACATGCTAAGTTCCAACGCGTTACCAGCATCCCACTGGAATCTACCTTCATGGCACAGTTGGACAGCCATTTAGCCCAATTGACGTATATCTTCCAGACGAAGGGAGGAGTTGCTGGCCAGAAACTAGCTAAACATCTGGAGATCTTGCAAGAAGTAAATATGTATACCAATTGTCTTTATGACATGTAAAATGTCATGTATATTTGTGATGATGAAAAAATGAAGTTATATTATACATTTAGGTTATTACATTTTATGGTTGAATGCACTTATTGTAAGTCGCTTTGGATAAAAGCGTCAGCTAAATGACATGTCATGTAATGTAATATAAATATTGTTCAATTTATTAAAATTGCTGTACTTATTTATGTATTTCTTATTATTTAATAATTGTAATTCTTTAACAGAGGAGACAAGTGATGTCAATCCTAAAAGGACAGCTGTCCTAAAGGCTCTTTGCATCTACCTGGGGGAGGACGAGGGACAGCTTGTTCTGGAGTATATGGTAAGTCATTTGAATTGATTTGCCTCTCACATGTTATGTTTTCAGATCCTAATGTCACCCACATACACTTTCAGAGGTTCATGTTATCATTGTCAGAAGGTTGAGAATATTCATATGAAACATAACACCCTGCTGCACAGTGGTGTCGTTTCTATGTACATTACTTTAATAACACCTCACAGATCCATCCATCCATTTGCAAACCGCTTATCCTGCACACAGGGTCGCGGGGGGTCTGGAGTCTGGAGTCATCTACATTAATTCAAAACCCCTGAGTGGGTGGACAATATCCCAGCCAACTTCGGGCGAGAGACAAGAGTACACCCGGGCCTGGTTGCCAGCCAATCACAGGGCTACATAGAGACATACAACCATTCACATTCACACACCTACGGGCAATTTAGAGTTACCAGTCAACCTGATCCCCAGAGCATGTCTTTGGACTGTGGGAGGAAGCTCACTGATATATAGTTTTATTTAAATATAAAATGATTATGTATGGTGGAAATGTTCATTTATTTGTTTATTTTTTTATATTTATATTAGGGCTGTCAAATAATTAAAATGTTTAATCAATTAATCAGAATTTTCAGTGGATTAATCAGGATTAATCACTATTTGCAATTACACCTGAATCCTAACCATTTTTTCTTTCTGAAATGCATACCAAAAGATAGATAACAGGACACAGATACATCATTTTCATATTATGTCTGTTTATTAACACAGCCAAATAATGGTGGTTTAAATCAAGCTGAAACATACTACACACCATAATATTTGTCTTTGTAATGTCCCATTGCTTCCTTTTTTTCCGTCTGTGACCTCCAACTCTCACTGGAGTGTTTCGCAGTCGAGTGTGAAGCGGTCGGGATGAGGATTAGCACCTCTAAATCTGAGGCCATGGTTCTCAGCAGGAAACCGATGGATTGCCTGCTCCAGGTAGGGAATGTGTCCTTACCCCAAGTGAAGGAGTTCAAGTACCTCGGGGACTTGTTCACGAGTGAGGGGAAGATGGAGTGTGAGTTTGGCCGGAGAATCGGAGCAGCGGGGGCGGTATTGCACTCGCTTTACCGCACTGTTGTGACGAAAAGAGAGCTGAGCCGGAAGGCAAAGCTCTCGATCTACCGGTCAATCTTCGTTCCTACCCTCACCTATGGTCATGAAGGATGGGTCATGACCGAAAGAACTAGGTCACGGGTACAAGCGGCCGAAATGGGTTTCCTCAGGAGAGTGGCTGGCGTCTCCCTTAGGGATAGGGTGAAAAGCTCAGCCATTCGTGAGGAGCTCGGAGTAGAGCCGCTGCTCCTTTGCGTCGAAAGGAGCCAGTTGAGGTGGTTTGGGCATCTGGTGAGGATTCTCTCTGGGCAAACGCTATGTCTGATTGTCACAAAATTTTCTGTGGACACTTATCGGGTCTGGGTTTAATCAAGACTTTACCTCCTAGGGAGACGGCGCTCTGCTGCTGCAGTACCGACAGTGGCCGCGGTGGCGCCGTTTCACCACAAGTGGGAAAAGTCCCGTAATAGCCGTAGAAAATCCTAGACATCATAGAATATCATAGAGATTATAGAGAATTAAAGAAAATGAGGAACGCTTCACGAATTTGCGTGTCATCCTTGCGCAGGGGCCATGCTAATCTTCTCTGTATCGTTCCAATTTTAGTATATGTGCTATCGAAATAACACAACAGACCATCGGTGCTGAGGGGTATTTAAAGGCTTGTGACATGGACGAATCCACCATCACGGTGTCTCCTCTGTGGAGCACCTGGGGGAGTCAGAAACCATGTTTCTGTGTCTCTGTCTAGGCCCAGAACACAACTACTAAGAGGTCTGGCTCCTGTGCAGTGAACCCCGACCATTCCACCGGCTCCAGAACCTGATCCGGCCCGCTTCAGGTCCCGTCTACTCTGCTGAGGAGCTCAAGAGGATGCTGGGAAATCTAGTCAGCCACCGCCGATGTCACGGGATTGGTGAGCTGCAGACAAAGAGGACAAAAGAATCCCCCCACAGCACCGCCTACATTCCTCCCAGATGACCTTTGACTCCCCCAATGAGCCATGGGAGGACACACAGGGAAAAGGGGGAGGGGGCGCGTACACAGTCAAATCACAACCATGAACATCCAGAGATTCTTTGCTCCCAAAAACGTTTACCTGTCACAGAACAAAAACCCTCCGAAATGGGGGAAAATAAGGAAGAAATCTGTTAGAGAAGAACAAGACCTTCAACGGACAACAGGTCATATCCAAACAAACTCAAACACACAGCCATAGGCTGATGGGGAACAGGAGAGAAGTAAAAAGAAATGCGAGATAAAAGAAATAAATTAACTTTAATCGTAGAGGATGGAAGGGAATATTTTTGTCCGATTCCAGAAGCACGCAAATCTGTTATTTTAACCTCAGGATGAACAAATAAAAAAAATACGTTGATAAATGGGTTTATTAATGGATAAAATGCCACTATTAGGGTGAAACTACAAACGAACACCAGTACACAGAATATCTGTCGGTGCAATTAGGGATCCAAAGATCCCTAAAAACCAAAAACAGGTTTACCAACAAGACAACAAGTTTTATCAAAGAATTGTTAACCTGTTTCATCAAAATGAATGAAAAAGTTTAACTCAACAAGCTGTTACTACAATTTTGGTTTGACTATTAATTAGTTACACAAGTGCTAAAGGAACTTAATGAAGTAACTCCTCAATCTGTCTAAGAGAACAAGAATTGGTGACGTACACTGAAACGTTTCTACAGGGAGACTCAAGGTCAGATAAGAGATGCACAGGCAATCTTTAAAACAAAGAGGAGAGAAGACTAAACAAATCTTTGTTGAAACATTGAAGGGTTTTGAGAAACTGACGTATTACTGAACGTTGGACAGATGTGGAGGGTTGCTCTACGAGTGTGGCGGCCAACAAGGCAACCCAAAATGTTATTTCTCCTCTTTTGGAGTAACTCAAGCAAATTCAGTGTTAAATGGAATGAATCCTGAGTGCAAATATTTATCTGTGATATAATTGGATTATGCACTTTACTCAAATACAAGGGCATAAAGATTGTATATTCGGTTTGGTCTTTAATTTAGAAGAATAAGCTCGTAACTCTTGGAATGTAAAAAATGACAACAACATTTTCACACAAACAAGCGGATTATAGAGAAAATGTTATGACATCAACTAACAGATCTATAAAAAAACATAATTGGTATTACAACTACTAATTGAAATATATATAATATATATATATATATCCAGTTGTGGAAAAGAATGTTGTTCTTTTTTTGTTTAGATTATTATGTAAGAGGTGTACTATAATATTATCTTTGCTTCTTTTTTTAATAGAAGATACAAATATTGACTAATGGCATTTCATTTGATGAAACTTAATTTTAGTATGTACGAATTTAAACAATAAATTGATTTGCATTCAAACAAAAACAATAGTTACAGTTACCTAATTCCTTTTATTAAACTGAACATGGTTTTGGTTGGAATTTCTTAATAAATTTGAGTTAACTCTACTCAAAACAGTTGAGCAGAAATTATAAATAAAAGTAGGCTGAAATTAGTTGAATTTACTTTAAAAATATGTCTGGATTTGGATACATTGATTCCGTGCATTTACTCACCTAAAAAAATGTAAGTAAATTCAACACCTTGTTTTCAGTGTATGTGCGCAGCAGAGACAGACAGAGGATGAAAGCTGCTGCTGCTGCATCCACCACCTCCACCTCCAGCAGCAGCGCAGCCGCTGCATCGGCCGCAAGCCAGAGAGCCACGAGTGCATCACAGTACGTGTTCCTGAAGAAGTGCTGTTGGTAACGTTGTCTCATTGTTGATGTCCTTGCGTGTCATTCATTGTGTGTCATAATAGGCCTCTTGGTCCAGCGCTTGTGGCGTTTGTCTCCATCTGCTGTGATGAGATGCAGGCCCAGGTGAAGAAGCTGGTGGCCCCTAAGCCTGCATCTACAGGTCAGTCCAGCCTCAGTTATTTACTGACGTTCCACTTCATCTACCCTCCTGTGTTCCCTTGTTTATCTTCTGTCATCATGTGTTTGCATTCCCCCGCTTTTTTTATTTGACTTTAAAACGTTGCTTGATCAGAGGACGAAAGCAGATTGGTACGTTTTGGGTGAAAGATGAACAGTGATAAACGTCCCCTGTTGTCCTTTTACAGGGAACACACGTCTCTGGTTTTAGTCATTCAGCGCAGTTCAGTGTGTTGTGTTCGTAGTGACTCTGACACGTGTCTTTTAAACACTTAAAACCCAGTTAACTAACTGATGACTCTGTGGGCAACAGCGCCCCCACGTGGGGAAACCAAGCAACTGCTTATGACCGGTCAGCCTGATGACGTGTGCTGCAGAACTCTGTTCAGAAAGGGTTGAATTAAAGAAACGCTGCTGCCTAACCGGCCCAAACATCACCACTAACATCAAGAAGAAGAGCCTTCCTGAACCAAGCGCAGCTCATCTGTTATTCGGCCCACACAGAATGAAGAATAACGTGTCTGATAAGAATCACACTTTAGACATTTTGTCTTACCAAGAGACCGTAGCGGTTTATCGGCTAAGCTGACGTTTAGAGCAACACGAGCCTTCGGAGTCTTTTCTCCTCCATATTCCGGTGAACGGAGCTGCTAAAACGAGAGGTTTCTACAAAGAGGTCTGGTGGAGAGGACAGAGACGCTCAGTGCACGTTCCTTCTTCTCAGACCATGGAGGGATGAGGACACACGTGTTTATTGTTTGGAGGACAGGCATGTTTATTATTCAGAAGATAGACGTGTTCATTGAGGTTGGACAGGTTTAATCAAGACTTTACCTCCTAGGGAGACGGCGCTCTGCTGCTGCAGTACCGACAGTGGCCGCGGTGGCGCCGTTTCACCACAAGTGGGAAAAGTCCACAATAGCCGTAGAAAATCCTAGACATCATAGAATATCATAAAGATTATTAAAGAAAATGAGGAACGCTTCACGAATTTGCGTGTCATCCTTGCGCAGGGGCCATGCTAATCTTCTCTGTATCGTTCCAATTTTAGTATATGTGCTATCGAAATAACACAACAGACCCTCGGTGCTGAGGGGTATTTAAAGGCTTGTGACCTGGACGAATCCACCATCACGGTGTCTCCTCTGTGGAGCACCTGGGGGAGTCAGAAACCATGTTTCTGTGTCTCTGTCTAGGCCCAGAACACAACTACTAAGAGGTCTGGCTCCTGTGCAGTGAACCCCGACCATTCCACCGGCTCCAGAACCTGATCCGGCCCGCTTCAGGTCCCGTCTACTCTGCTGAGGAGCTCAAGAGGATGCTGGGAAATCTAGTCAGCCACCGCCGATGTCACGGGATTGGTGAGCTGCAGACAAAGAATCCCCTCACGGCTCCGCCTACATTCCTCCCAGACGACCTTCGACCTTTGGAGGCGCATAGAGAGTGACGGGGGAGGGAGGCGCATAGAGAGTGACGGGGGAGGGAGGCGCATAGAGAGTGACGGGGGAGGAAGCTTAGACGGAAGGGGGAGCAGCAGCAGCATGACGGAGGTGGTATGAGGAGAGTCCTCACGCTGCTGCTGTTATTGTCCCCCTGACTTCACGTGAAGACGTCTCTCAATAACAATGAGACACATCCTCATCACAGCCTCATGAGGAGACCCGGGGTCAGAGAGAAGATGTGATGGATTTTTGGGGGATTCTTTATGAAAAACGTCTGTGTTCTCAATAATAAAACGTGTCTCTCTCTATATTCCGCCACAGCTGCTCAGATGAACAGACGCAGAGGAACATCTGCTCACCTTCTCCAGACCACACTGCTGTGAGTGTCGCTGTGAACAAACGCTGCTCTTCATGTTCACATGATGAGGGTTCTTCCTGCTTTTTGTTTTCCTAAAAACCAGAACACAGGTGCAGCTTCACAAAGGACCAGCAGGTGTCGCCCTATGACCGCTCCATGGAGTGAGAGGCGCTGTGGTCTGAAGGAAAACACAAAGTACAACTACTACTGGAATCAACGTATCAATAAGTTATCGTTGATGTATTCCATAGGAGAACATTACTCCACACCGGGGTAAAATCATTAAAAGGACATTTGTTAAATAGTTGTTGAAAGTTGGAGCAGAGGTGAAACACATACACTAAAGATGAAAGTTGATTTTAAATGACATTAAAGTTCATCGTTTTATGAATAAATACTGTCTGATTTCACGTGTTTTGTTCCCCATCTTTAAACCTCGACCTTTTAAATGTACACATGTTATTATGACAGTCTGAACACACGTGTGCCGTCCTTTTTCTTTGCCTTTTGCGTTCACTGGTTACCTGGTTTTACGCGTCACGTTGCAATGACTTGTGGGTAGGAAAGACTCGGCGGGTTGATAATGTGAGCGGTCTAAAGCCTCGCGCAGTTAGCGCTGTGTGTAGATGACGCATGCTCTGGTTTAATGTCGAACGCTCTTCTTTTGCTGCGTGTTGGTTTTGTGTATACGTTGTGTCCGTGTGTCTATGAATGTGAATTTGATTTCCTTTTGAGATTTTTAATGTTTTTTTTTACTTCAGGCTGCCTCAAAAACATGGAAATGAGCCTCTCTGGCTCACTACAGTGCAACTGTTGATTAGTTTGCATTGACCCTGCAAAGTAAATAAATAAATAGACGCCAGGCTGGACAACGTGTGTAACCAAGGAAGGACTTCACACTATGTGTGACCGAGACTTTTAGTGGGAATCATTTCATAGCTAACTGGTTTCAGTCTGTTGGAGAGGCACTAAGTGGTCACGTTACTCTTCCTGTAGCCAGAACCAATGCACTTAAGAAAACATCATGCACACAGCTGTTGCATACTGGAATGTGCTGCCCTCATATTTCACTCTGACAAGAAACAAATGTGATTCCAACAGGAAACTTAAGGCAGCAATAATCAGAAAGGAAATTAGAGTAGGTTAGGTTATTATTGTTTTTAATTCTGTGTTTTTTCTTTTTGTTTGTTATTCCTTACTGTAAATGTTGTTCTCTAAGTCTGTGTTTTTGTTCACCAACATTGGTCGTGCTGTAATTTAACACGCTTAGATTGCAGCTTGCCTGAGGCGGGACTCGAACCACAGATCTTCTGCATCAAATGTGTTATAGCCTGCTATTAAAGATTTAGATTAGATTAGATTCAACTTTATTGTCATTGCACAGGGTACAAGTACTAAGGCAACGAAATGCAGTTTAACATCCAACCAGAGCGCAAAATAGCAAAAAGTGCAGGGTATTTGCATATGTAAAGTGTAATAAGTGAATAAATAGATATGTACAGTAAGAAATAGTTATGCAACATGAACGGTAAGAAATGGATATACAATAACAGTGCAAATGTTCAGTGGCTGGAGGAGGGTGTGTGGCAGTCAAGCCAGGGTGGAGGGGGAGTACAGTCACTGAGGGAGATGTGTGTGGGGTGGGGGGCAGAGTTCAGGGGGGGCAGAGTTCAGTAGAGTGACAGCCGCAGGGATGAAGCTGTTCCTGAACCTGCTGGTCCAGGAGCGGAGCACCCTGTAGCGCCTCCCAGGGGGGAGGAGGGCAAACAGTCTGTGGCTGGGGTGAGAGCTGCACCATCCAGACATCTCTTGCTCCGGACAGCCTCAATGGTGGCGAGTGAGGAACCGGTGATGCGTTGGGCAGTTTTCACCACCCTCTGCAGTGATTTACGGTCCGCGACAGAGCAGCTGCCGTACCATACTGGGATGCAGTCTCTAAGGATGCTCTCTATGGTACAGCGGTAGAAATTATCTAGCATCTGAGGAGACAGATGGGCCTTCTTCAGTCTCCTCAGGAAGAAGAGACGCTGGTGTGCTTTCTTTACCAGGGATGAGGTGTTGAGGGTCCAAGAGAGGTCCTCAGACATGTGGGCACCCAGGAACTTGAAGCTGGCGACACGCTCAACCTCCGTCCCGTTGATATGGATGGGGATGTTCGTGCCAGTTTTCTTCCTGAAGTCCACAATTAGCTCTTTGGTCTTCTTGGTGTTGAGAGCCAGGTTGTTGTCGGCGCACCATACCGCCAGGTCCTGGACCTCCCCTCTGTAGGCCGACTCATCGTTGTCACAGATGAGGCCAATTACCGTTGTGTCGTCTGCAAACTTGACAATGGTATTAGAACCGTGTACAGGTGTGCAGTCGTGGTGAAGAGGGAGTAGAGGAGAGGACTTAGCACACAGCCCTGTGGCACGCCGGTGTTCAGCATGAGGGTTGAGGAGGTGTGGTTCTCTACCCTAACAGACTGGGGTCTGTTGGATAGGAAGTCCAGTATCCAGTTACAGAGGGAAGTGTTGATACCCAGGTGACTGAGTTTCGTGATTGGTTTGGAGGGGATGACAGTGTTGAAAGCTGAAGTGAAGTCTATGAACAGCATCCTCACATAGCTGTTGTTATTGTCCAGGTGAGAAAGGGCGGAGTGTAATGCCGTGGAGATGGCATCCTCCGTCCTCCTGTTCTTGCGGTAGGCGAATTGGAAGGGGTCCAATGGGGTGGGTGGTAATCGTAATCGTGGTAACCGTAAAATAATGCCATTATTAACACATATAAGCTTATAAATGTTAATAAGCATCTTGTAAGGACTTACAAGTGCCTTATTACCTATTGATTAATGGTTATTACAAGGACCTTAATATAAAGCGTTACCACACTTCACAAACAGAAGTACTCATATTCATTGTTGACGCTTTTTTTATTTGACTTTAAAACGTTTCTTGATCAGAGGACGAAAGCAGATGACTGGTAAGTTTTGCGTGAACGCTGTGATGTCTGATGATCATCTCGGATCAATAACCCACCTCTACAAATAACATCGTCTTTTTCACCGTGCTTTCATCAGCGCCTGGCTGACTCAACAACATCTGCATGGCTAACTAGTTATCATCTCACCCTCACTTTCTCTCTTTAAAACCACCTCCTTTTCTCTTGTGGTGTGTAAATGCAGCTCAATCTTTGTTGGTCTCTCAGCATTAACAGTAATAATAATAATTCATCTTAACCTTTTACGTTACTCAAACATTTCCTTTACCTTCAAGCCTCGGATGCAAAGGCCTTTTTTTTTGCTCCTGCCACCACCCGCTGCTGCCGTCGCCACCTCCTCCTCCTCCTCCTCCTCAGCAGCACCTCCTCCTCCAGGAGCTGGTGTCTCTGCTCTACTGGACGAGCTGCTGGAAGCCTCGCAGGAGATTTGTGTGTGTGTTGTCGTCTCACCAGTTGCTGCCTCGGTCCTGGAGGGCAGCTCTCACTGTGGAGCAGCAGCAGTGGATCGGCCCGGTGCCGTCTACCAGGGACAGCCAGTGGAGGCCTCGGCTCGTCGGTGACCTCAACCTCTGTTGGCACCCCCCCAACCCCGGCCCGTCTACAACCATCCTCCCGCATCCCCCGACCCCTTCTTCACCATTTGACTGTGTTGAACGTCCCGTTGGAGGTGCAGACTCGGCTCTACATGATGTTGGCGTTCTGCAGGCTGTCCTGTGACATGAGGGTGGTGATACAGCTGAGGTCCCGCACTCTGGGCAACAGTGCCAACCAGCTGTACAACACCCTGCGGGAGCAGCACTCGGACGCCTGGATGCGGAGAGCGATCCAGTACCTCGGCGAGTGTGAGCGATTCCTGGCCTTGTGCTCGGCGAGGGGGCAGATTCCATCTCTGCCCCAGATGCCCCCTCTGCCATCCCCCGTCTGGCTGCTGACTCCACCAAGAAGGCGAGTGGAGTCTGTCAGTTTCTTTTCCTTCCAGCTGCTGTGTGTTTCTCACATTAACTCTCAGTATCTCTCTGCAGGTGACAAAGAAGCTCGCGGGTATCTCCTCCGACACGGCCGCCTGGGCTACCAACGTCGGCAATGAGCACGGGCAGGTCCTCATGAGCGTCCTCACCTCCACCGAGAGCGCCGGGGGCCTTTCCAGGATGGCCGCCGGCTTGATGAGGCGGTACCGACTCCGCGGGGTACCTCCCCCCCAGCTGATCTACGTGGACCGCGACTGCTGCAACAGGGACGGCGTGTCAAAGACAGCTGTCTTGTTTCAGGTGTGAAAAGGACACTGTTGACAGTTGTGCTGCATCAGCACCGTGATTGTAGACTTACACGTTTTGATTGTTTCGCTGGAGTGGGAGCATCTCGCCGTGAGACTGGACATCTGGCACCTGATGCGACGCTTCGCATCAGGTGTCAACACCGAGAGTCACGAGCTGTACCCCACCTTCATGAGGCAGCTGTCTAACTGCATCTTTGAGGTGGACGCCGGAGATGCACGCCGTCTCGCAGAGGCTAAGCGGTCCCAGCTGGAGGGGAAGCACGGGATGGTTGGACTGACGGACCCCGCGGTGAACCAGAGGATCTCCAGGGAGGAGTGGAGGCTCCGCTGCCGCCGCAGGACACGCGGGCCTAAAGTGGTCCTACTCAACTGCGCGAGGCTTTAGACCGCTCACATTATCAACCCGCCAAGTCTTTCCATGGAGCGGTCGTAGGGCGACACCTGCTGGTCCTTTGTGAAGCTGCACCTGTGTTCTGGTTTTTAGGAAAACAAAAAGCAGGAAGAACCCTCATCATGTGAACATGAAGAGCAGCGTTTGTTCACAGCGACACTCACAGCAGTGTGGTCTGGAGAAGGTGAGCAGATGTTCCTCTGCGTCTGTTCATCTGAGCAGCTGTGGCGGAATATAGAGAGAGACACGTTTTATTATTGAGAACACAGACGTTTTTCATAAAGAATCCCCCAAAAATCCATCACATCTTCTCTCTGACCCCGGGTCTCCTCATGAGGCTGTGATGAGGATGTGTCTCATTGTTATTGAGAGACGTCTTCACGTGAAGTCAGGGGGACAATAACAGCAGCAGCGTGAGGACTCTCCTCATACCACCTCCGTCATGCTGCTGCTGCTCCCCCTTCCGTCTAAGCTTCCTCCCCCGTCACTCTCTATGCGCCTCCCTCCCCCGTCACTCTCTATGCGCCTCCCTCCCCCGTCACTCTCTATGCGCCTCCCTCCCCCGTCACTCTCTATGCGCCTCCAAAGGTCGAAGGTCGTCTGGGAGGAATGTAGGCGGAGCCGTGAGGGGATTCTTTGTCTGCAGCTCACCAATCCCGTGACATCGGCGGTGGCTGACTAGATTTCCCAGCATCCTCTTGAGCTCCTCAGCAGAGTAGACGGGACCTGAAGCGGGCCGGATCAGGTTCTGGAGCCGGTGGAATGGTCGGGGTTCACTGCACAGGAGCCAGACCTCTTAGTAGTTGTGTTCTGGGCCTAGACAGAGACACAGAAACATGGTTTCTGACTCCCCCAGGTGCTCCACAGAGGAGACACCGTGATGGTGGATTCGTCCAGGTCACAAGCCTTTAAATACCCCTCAGCACCGAGGGTCTGTTGTGTTATTTCGATAGCACATATACTAAAATTGGAACGATACAGAGAAGATTAGCATGGCCCCTGCGCAAGGATGACACGCAAATTCGTGAAGCGTTCCTCATTTTCTTTAATAATCTTTATGATATTCTATGATGTCTTTAGGATTTTCTACGGCTATTGTGGACTTTTCCCACTTGTGGTGAAACGGCGCCACCGCGGCCACTGTCGGTACTGCAGCAGCAGAGCGCCGTCTCCCTAGGAGGTAAAGTCTTGATTAAACCTGTCCAACCTCAATGAACACGTCTATCTTCTGAATAATAAACATGCCTGTCCTCCAAACAATAAACACGTGTGTCCTCATCCCTCCATGGTCTGAGAAGAAGGAACGTGCACTGAGCGTCTCTGTCCTCTCCACCAGACCTCTTTGTAGAAACCTCTCGTTTTAGCAGCTCCGTTCACCGGAATATGGAGGAGAAAAGACTCCGAAGGCTCGTGTTGCTCTAAACGTCAGCTTAGCCGATAAACCGCTACGGTCTCTTGGTAAGACAAAATGTCTAAAGTGTGATTCTTATCAGACACGTTGGTTCTTCATTCTGTGTTGGCCGAATAACAGATGAGCTGCGCTTGGTTCAGGAAGGCTCTTCTTCTTGATGTTAGTGGTGATGTTTGGGCCGGTTAGGCAGCAGCGTTTCTTTAATTCAACCCTTTCTGAACAGAGTTCTGCAGCACACGTCATCAGGCTGACCGGTCATAAGCAGTTGCTTGGTTTCCCCACGTGGGGGCGCTGTTGCCCACAGAGTCATCAGTTAGTTAACTGGGTTTTAAGTGTTTAAAAGACACGTGTCAGAGTCACTACGAACACAACACACTGAACTGCGCTGAATGACTAAAACCAGAGACGTGTGTTCCCTGTAAAAGGACAACAGGGGACGTTTATCACTGTTCATCTTTCACCCAAAACGTACCAATCTGCTTTCGTCCTCTGATCAAGCAACGTTTTAAAGTCAAATAAAAAAAGCGGGGGAATGCAAACACATGATGACAGAAGATAAACAAGGGAACACAGGAGGGTAGATGAAGTGGAACGTCAGTAAATAACTGAGGCTGGACTGACCTGTAGATGCAGGCTTAGGGGCCACCAGCTTCTTCACCTGGGCCTGCATCTCATCACAGCAGATGGAGACAAACGCCACAAGCGCTGGACCAAGAGGCCTATTATGACACACAATGAATGACACGCAAGGACATCAACAATGAGACAACGTTACCAACAGCACTTCTTCAGGAACACGTACTGTGATGCACTCGTGGCTCTCTGGCTTGCGGCCGATGCAGCGGCTGCGCTGCTGCTGGAGGTGGAGGTGGTGGATGCAGCAGCAGCAGCTTTCATCCTCTGTCTGTCTCTGCTGCGCACATACACTGAAAACAAGGTGTTGAATTTACTTACATTTTTTTAGGTGAGTAAATGCACGGAATCAATGTATCCAAATCCAGACATATTTTTAAAGTAAATTCAACTAATTTCAGCCTACTTTTATTTATAATTTCTGCTCAACTGTTTTGAGTAGAGTTAACTCAAATTTATTAAGAAATTCCAACTAAACCCATGTTCAGTTTAATAAAAGGAATTAGGTAACTGTAACTATTGTTTTTGTTTGAATGCAAATCAATTTATTGTTTAAATTCGTACATACTAAAATTAAGTTTCATCAAATGAAATGCCATTAGTCAATATTTGTATCTTCTATTAAAAAAAGAAGCAAAGATAATATTATAGTACACCTCTTACATAATAATCTAAACAAAAAAAGAACAACATTCTTTTCCACAACTGGATATATATATATATATTATATATATTTCAATTAGTAGTTGTAATACCAATTATGTTTTTTTATAGATCTGTTAGTTGATGTCATAACATTTTCTCTATAATCCGCTTGTTTGTGTGAAAATGTTGTTGTCGTTTTTTACATTCCAAGAGTTACGAGCTTATTCTTCTAAATTAAAGACCAAACCGAATATACAATCTTTATGCCCTTGTATTTGAGTAAAGTGCATAATCCAATTATATCACAGATAAATATTTGCACTCAGGATTCATTCCATTTAACACTGAATTTGCTTGAGTTACTCCAAAAGAGGAGAAATAACATTTTGGATTGCCTTGTTGGCCGCCACACTCGTAGAGCAACCCTCCACATCTGTCCAACGTTCAGTAATACGTCAGTTTCTCAAAACCCTTCAATGTTTCAACAAAGATTTGTTTAGTCTTCTCTCCTCTTTGTTTTAAAGATTGCCTGTGCATCTCTTATCTGACCTTGAGTCTCCCTGTAGAAACGTTTCAGTGTACGTCACCAATTCTTGTTCTCTTAGACAGATTGAGGAGTTACTTCATTAAGTTCCTTTAGCACTTGTGTAACTAATTAATAGTTAAACCAAAATTGTAGTAACAGCTTGTTGAGTTAAACTTTTTCATTCATTTTGATGAAACAGGTTAACAATTCTTTGATAAAACTTGTTGTCTTGTTGGTAAACCTGTTTTTGGTTTTTAGGGATCTTTGGATCCCTAATTGCACCGACAGATATTCTGTGTACTGGTGTTCGTTTGTAGTTTCACCCTAATAGTGGCATTTTATCCATTAATAAACCCATTTATCAACGTATTTTTTTTATTTGTTCATCCTGAGGTTAAAATAACAGATTTGCGTGCTTCTGGAATCGGACAAAAATATTCCCTTCCATCCTCTACGATTAAAGTTAATTTATTTCTTTTATCTCGCATTTCTTTTTACTTCTCTCCTGTTCCCCATCAGCCTATGGCTGTGTGTTTGAGTTTGTTTGGATATGACCTGTTGTCCGTTGAAGGTCTTGTTCTTCTCTAACAGATTTCTTCCTTATTTTCCCCCATTTCGGAGGGGTTTTGTTCTGTGACAGGTAAACGTTTTTGGGAGCAAAGAATCTCTGGATGTTCATGGTTGTGATTTGACTGTGTACGCGCCCCCTCCCCCTTTTCCCTGTGTGTCCTCCCATGGCTCATTGGGGGAGTCAAAGGTCGTCTGGGAGGAATGTAGGCGGTGCTGTGGGGGGATTCTTTTGTCCTCTTTGTCTGCAGCTCACCAATCCCGTGACATCGGCGGTGGCTGACTAGATTTCCCAGCATCCTCTTGAGCTCCTCAGCAGAGTAGACGGGACCTGAAGCGGGCCGGATCAGGTTCTGGAGCCGGTGGAATGGTCGGGGTTCACTGCACAGGAGCCAGACCTCTTAGTAGTTGTGTTCTGGGCCTAGACAGAGACACAGAAACATGGTTTCTGACTCCCCCAGGTGCTCCACAGAGGAGACACCGTGATGGTGGATTCGTCCATGTCACAAGCCTTTAAATACCCCTCAGCACCGATGGTCTGTTGTGTTATTTCGATAGCACATATACTAAAATTGGAACGATACAGAGAAGATTAGCATGGCCCCTGCGCAAGGATGACACGCAAATTCGTGAAGCGTTCCTCATTTTCTTTAATTCTCTATAATCTTTATGATATTCTATGATGTCTAGGATTTTCTACGGCTATTGTGGACTTTTCCCACTTGTGGTGAAACGGCGCCACCGGCCACTGTCGGTACTGCAGCAGCAGAGCGCAGTCTCCCTAGGAGGTAAAGTCTTGATTAAACCCAGACCCGATAAGTGTCCACAGAAAATTTTGTGACAATCAGACATAGCGTTTGCCCAGGGGGAATCCTCACCAGATGCCCAAACCACCTCAACTGGCTCCTTTCGACGCAAAGGAGCAGCGGCTCTACTCCGAGCTCCTCACGAATGGCTGAGCTTTTCACCCTATCCCTAAGGGAGACGCCAGCCACTCTCCTGAGGAAACCCATTTCGGCCGCTTGTACCCGTGACCTAGTTCTTTCGGTCATGACCCATCCTTCATGACCATAGGTGAGGGTAGGAACGAAGATTGACCGGTAGATCGAGAGCTTTGCCTTCCGGCTCAGCTCTCTTTTCGTCACAACAGTGCGGTAAAGCGAGTGCAATACCGCCCCCGCTGCTCCGATTCTCCGGCCAAACTCACACTCCATCTTCCCCTCACTCGTGAACAAGTCCCCGAGGTACTTGAACTCCTTCACTTGGGGTAAGGACACATTCCCTACCTGGAGCAGGCAATCCATCGGTTTCCTGCTGAGAACCATGGCCTCAGATTTAGAGGTGCTAATCCTCATCCCGACCGCTTCACACTCGACTGCGAAACACTCCAGTGAGAGTTGGAGGTCACAGACGGAAGATGCCATCAGGACCACATCATCTGCAAAAAGCAGCGATGAGATCCGCAGCCCCCCGAACTGTAGACCCTCCTCCCCCCGACTACGCCACGATATCCTGTCCATGAAAACCACAAACAAGATTGGTGACAAGGCGCAGCCCTGGCGAAGGCCAACCCCCACCGGAAACACCTCCGACGTACTGCCGAGCACCCGAACACAGTTCTCGCTTTGGGCGTATAAGGATTGGATGGCCCCAAGCACGGACCCCCTCACCCCGTACTCCCGCAGCACCTCCCACAGTTTCTCTCGGGGGACCCGGTCATACGCCTTCTCCAAGTCCACAAAATGTAGTCTGGATGAGCATACTCCCAAGCCCCCTCTATGATCCTGGAAAGAGTGAAGAGCTGGTCTGTTGTTCCACGACCAGGACGAAAACCGCATTGTTCCTCTTCAATCCTTGGTTCGACTATCGGCCAAACCCTCCTGAGGCTGAGTAGTGTGATGCTGAGTAGTGAGATACCCCTGTAATTGGCACACACTCTCTGGTCTTTGAAGAGGGGTACCACCATCCCGGTCTGCCACTCTTTTGGCACTGTCCCAGACTTCCACGCAGTGTTGAAGAGGCGTGTCTTCCAAGACAACACCCATTGCTTTTAGCATCTCTGGACGGATCCCATCAATCCCCGGGG